TGTGCTGAAGTGGAGATTTCTGATTCAGAGTGTGAGAAGAAATGCTTTTTGAGAAAAAAGCCTTTAAAGAAATGTACTATAATTGAAATGCACCAACGTAAATAGGCAAAGTGGAGCAAAATGAACACATAAAGGTGTATTTTGGATATTTTCTTTCTACTAGTCTGAAGGAAGACATGTGATGGATGCAAAATATCTTATAAATGACCATATTGAGAATGAAAAAAACACTTATTTTGCATCAACAATGTTGTCTTAACCTTCTTTTTAGGCCTCGAAATCCAAATTAAGACAAAAAACAAACATTTCATAATTGTTGTAGGTGACAAACAACATTAAACAGATTCTAAAAATACGAGACAAATCAGAATAAAATATAAAATTGTGAATATAATCTGTAAGAGACTCAGATAAATGACTTTCTCCTTTAATCCTCATCATAAAAAAGTAAATAAACTGCTTAATGACACTGATTGAACCTCTGTTTTCTACAATATGCAGTTTTTTTCAAGACAAAAACAAACCAAGAGGGAATGAAGAGAGCAAGAAAAAAGATATTGGAGGGAAGAAAAAAAAAAAGGAACAAGATAACCAGCGACTGCCTGCGTGAGTAAGCACCAGAAGAAGTCTAAACTCCGGAGCGGTGAAATAACAGTACATCAAATTGCTGGTGTAAAGAAAAAAATGATAGCACATGAAATTACTGGTGTAGGCCACCGTGATACGCTGGACCCTCTATTTCCTGTGTGGGTCGAGAGAGACGCTGCACACAGAGAAAGTTGACTTCTAGAGTGGTGTGAGGTTTCTTTTTCCTTCTCCCCGCTTGTTTCTACTGTCACTGCTGTCAACAGCCGCTTTAGGTCACTGAGAGGCTACCGCTCCATCTACCTGTGTTTTAGCACATCACACGCCGCACTGCACTCGGCGCTCGCACACACACACACACACACACACACACACACACACACACGCTCAGAAAGGAAAAGAGTCCACCGGTCGAGAGGCAGAGGAAACAGGGATTTGTTTATATGGATTGAGTGACCCGGCACAGGGGTTCAATTAAAGGATGAAGGAGAGAGGAAGAGGAGGAGGAGGAGGAGGAGGAGGAGGTCTGCAGGCACAGTGACGCCTTATTGAGAAGAAGCAACACTGATGGGTAAATAATAGATCCTGCAGATGAATTATTGAAGCAGTACATTGATGCTTTCATGCTGAGCTCACATTCTGGGGTTCATTCATGAAAAAAAAGGTAAATAAAGAGAGGATGAGAGGAAGGTGAGAGGGTGAGAGGCTGAGGGGAGGGTGAGAGGGTGAGAGGGGTTGTTGCTATGTCAGCTTTCAGTTCATTCACTGACTCGCTCACAGAGTCACTCTTAGCCTCATATTAAAGCATTTTTCTAATTCTAAATGAGGCTCAGAATTGCTGTTGTTGCTGTCATGTGTTGTATGAAGGTTGATTTGATTAAAAATGTTTTTGTCATGAAGAAATGTCATTTCACTGTAAAACACTGTTGAAAAAGAGGTGATAATCTTAACCTTTTTTTCTGTAATTGTACCAAATACTATCAATATTATCAAGTGTGTACGACAGCAGTTCAAACAGTTGTTTAGCCTTTTTTAATCCCTAATATGTACAATTTTTCTTTTAAATAACAGAAAATATCTGACAAATATTTTTTTTTCTGTAAAACTGTGTAATTTTACTGTCCAACACAATAAAAGCCGTTATCATTTATAAAAAAATATAGATTGTTGATGTTGACGTTATTTACAGGTTTGGCCTGTTATTTTATTTTATTTCCTTTTCCAGTTAACATGTAAATTAATACTCTTTTCTTTGATTTCACTAGATTTCACTATCTGTATTTTAACAAAACAGTCATCATTTGTAAAAGCAGTAAATGCTCCAAAAACTAGTTTAAAACCGTTAAACATGTTCATTGTTTCACAGTGTCTTTAATCTATTGTGTATTGTCTTCTTGTCTTTCTAAGTGTATATTTACTGATTGACTTATATTCCATTTATTTTCCATGCCCCCTCTTTTCTTGTCTCTTTGTTCATTTGTGTTTATTCTCTTCTTTCTTTATTTATCTGTCATGTTACTATGTGCTGCTGCAATCTGAGCCACAACAGTCTGTACACAGAGGTTTGTAATCAGTAATGGTTTATATATATACACATACATGTAACCTTCCTTCTCTCTTAGACTACTTCACACTGCAGGTGATTTTTTTTTTAAATTATTTAAGCTTCACAAATTCAGCCTTTAATGATATTTAAGGAGAAACAAAAAGTTTGTATGTACAAAAAAGGGGACATTAGACACAAGCTGCACCCTAACACACACACACACACACACACACACACACACTCCCAACCTCCCTTTTGGGTGTCCTATAATGCCAGATCCTTTTGAGCTGACAGGTGACAGAACAGTCCACATCAACATAGGTCTACTCTCTCTACTCTCTACACACACACACACACACACACACACACACACACACACACACACACACCCTGCTGCTGTACAGTAGACAGCTCCAGACATGCCGGGCTTGGACATGCCCAAAAGGCAGAGCCTGTTCCCTGTCACCTATCAGCTGGTGGCAGACAGCGGGATGTGAGTGTGTGTGTGTGTGTGTGTGTGTAGGTGTGTGTGTGTGTGTGTCCATCTACTTGTATACACATGTATTGTGAGGACAGCGTTGAGTTTCAGACCTTGGGAGTGACGACACTTTGACCAGCCCTTTAGCCCACATTTGGTTGTGAGGTTCAACAAAAACTTTCCCTAATTTCATTTTTAAGCACAACATTTTTCATGACCCCTGAAATGACTACATACTGGTATTAGAGTATAGTCAGCACTCCACATGCATGTTATTATCATATCATACTTATTATAAGATTGTCCTCTATCAAACTAATATAAATACATCCAATCTACCACCTTGTCTGCATATTAACTGACACCACAGGGTGCTCACAGCATGTCTATGTGAGTGGATGATAAAGAAAAACAGCTATTTTAATGAATAAAATGCTACTAATTATGAGAAGAAATGAATCAAAACCTATCTTGGCCATACATATACCAAATAAACTGGTAACATTAATGACCTAAAATTAACAATTACCATAAAAATGAGTGTCCTGAGCAAGATAACAAGATGGCAATACTATGACAGACAAGCAATATCCTATTATATATCATAATATATATAATATATCAGCAATTTCCCAGAGGTTTCCACCAAAGGGATCAATAAAGTTCTATTCTATTCTCTATTCTATATAAACAGATTTAAAAATATGTCACGAATCAAAATTGTGATGATAAAAATCATTAAATTTTATTAGAATTTAAATTATTGTTTATGCTAATTACTATAACAATCATTTTGTATTAAATTCTGGTATTTTATAGATTTAAAAAAATTGTCTAATTGGAACATCCTGGTGTCCTTAAGACCACGTCATATAACCGTTAAACCCCCTCTCATATTTTCTGTCTGTGCTGATAAAACGCCCAAAAAAGTAATTTTTTAAATGGTCCCAAAAAGAAAAGCTTGTGCAGAGAGGATGAAAAAAGTATTTCTAGCACAGATGAGATTCTGCAGTCCTACATATCATCAGTGTAGCAGTCAGTAAGGAAGCTCATGGACCTGGTGTTGGGGTACTAACATGTCACAGGGCATGCCAGGGAAGGTGAAGGGAGATAAGAGAAGGCAGCTGCCCACCCAGGACTGCTGGCACGGCAGCCAGGGGCGGGGCCAAGACAGCATGGCACACGTCGTCCTCAGACACCCCTTCCCTTCCCTGCCTCCCCACCGGCTCTGACAGGCGGCACGAGAGCCCCTTGGCCCAGTGAGGGGTGGACAGCCATCTGACAACTCCCCACCTGCATGACCTTTACCATGCTTGACCCCCTGCAGGAGACAATCACCTCATAGCAAACAGCCCTGCGGGAGATGTAGACACACGGCGCAGACAGGAAGACACACAAACACAAAGACGGGCGTGATGCACACACAGATTGGCAGAAAGTTGGACGAAGGGGCAGCTCGTCAGATCAGGACATGCAAACATGGCTGTGATGAGTCATTCTAAACTGTCAAGCCAAAAACAAACAGGCTCCAGCATCAATAAGAAGATTTCATTATCACAACAGTTAGTTCTGTCGTTTATGCACGGAAGCCATTAAATAAGCTCTGTTTCAAAATCAACCATTTAATCTGACTAAACAGAGCATTCAGCTGTGTGGATGCTGCTGCATAGTACGACTATAACTAGTTTGTTCAGCCAGTTAGTCAGCACAGTGTACTGGTCAGCGAACATTTAACCAGGTTTCTAGACGACTGAGTAACAGAGTAGTGGTGGTGGCAGAGCGAGGCAGGCAAGGTGTGTGTAGGATGAGTTTACTTTGAATAGAACACAGTGTCTCACATTTTATATATATATTTGTGTGTATTTACCCTGAAATAGCTTGAAAATAAAATAAAATAGCACAATTACCAAGTTAAAATGTTAATCTTTCTAGGATGGTCTAAGCACCAAATGTTTCAAGGTCCCAACAATGCCTCGAGTTAGACTTATAGGGCTGCATCGTGTTTATTTCTAAGTGCAGTCTGTAGATTATTAATAAGCATGATTTGGATGTAGTTTGTTTCCTGTTTACTTTGATTTCAAGATTTTTTTTGTCGCTGTTTGCAATGGTTTGCTATACTTCTGTCCTTGTGCTTGTTAGACTTAAAATTTCATGGATTAAATCCTTTTTTTGATTTGAAAGTTTGTTCTAGGAAACAGCAGATTACAAAACAGTAGTACCTTATCCCAGTTTTGCTCCACATCTTTAACTCAATTTAGGAGAATGGTTTATTATTATTATTATTATCATTATTATTGTCATTACTATTATTATTATTTATTATTGTTGTTGTTGCGGTAGTACAGCTAATGCGATGGGAAAAAAAAGCATTTGGCATTGCGGCATTACGTCATCAACAGGCGACATGATTGAGACAACAAACGTGAGACGTTGGTGTTAACGCAGATGCCGTAAAGTAGGTAAAGCTTGTTTTCTAAAATATTAACACTAAAGAAACCTTGTTGTATTGGCGTTAAGCTTTGTTAGCAAAACCGTCTGTGACTCTCAACGTAGTTTTGAACCGGTTTACGGATATATCGCCACGCAAAGCGCGTCCTGTAGCTAAAGTTAGCATCATAAACGGTCAAATACTCGCTGTGGCAGAAACGAAACTGAAGATCACATATGTTTTTTATGTTTCCTTTCTTAGGTTACTACTTTTAGACCACACTGCTCTCTCTCTGTTGGTTCAGTTCGACCGCCAATGAATCCATTAATTAGACGGAGACTTCCTCCGTCTGTGAGGAGTCTTCTGACAGACATCGGTCCTAAGGAGGAGTGGACTGACACGGAGCCCGAAACAGAGACTAGAGACGGGATTCTGATCCCGTCCAGAAGACCTGGACAAGAGGAGTTTCTTACCCCAGCCATGACGCAGGAGCAGGACGCTGCAGAGGAGGGGAGAAGCACCAAGAGGAGCACAGTCTGCATGCTGTGTAAATGTAAGCCCTCTTGCTACACCTGTCCCCGGTGTAACCTCCAGTACTGCGGCTTGGCTTGCTACCAGAGCCCAGATCACGCTGCATGCTCTGAGGAGTTTTACAAGGAGTCAGTTCTACAGGAGCTGAAGGAAATGGGCAAAACAGAAACTGAGGGGAGAAAGAAAATGGAGGAGATTCTTGTGGGACTCAGACAACAGGCAGAGAAGACACATGGAGGGATGGAAGGTTTGTTAAAAGAAGTGGGTATTGTGCAAGATGACACAGAGGAAGGGGAGGCAGAGGCAACGGAGAAGGTCCAGGTTGTGGAGCTCCTGTCCAGGTTAGCAGAGCTTCAACAGGCAGGAGACGGGGGTACAGCAGAGATTGAGGCTATTTTGGAAAAACTTGAAGAGATTGGAGGAGAGGAGCTGCTGACTGGAGAAACAGACGAGGAAGCTGAAGGTGCAGATGAGAAGCTTGACTTGGCTGATCGACTGTCAGGGCTGGATATTGACAAACTATCAGAAGAAGAACTGTGGGAACTTCTCAGCAGCAAAGAGAAGGAGGGGTTTATGGATCTGATGAAGGGTGGAGCTCTTGGTGGACTCGTTCCCCTGTGGAAGCCGTGGTGGGAGGAGCATGAGGACGGAGGGAAAGCATTGGTGGAGGTCCTGGAGGAGGAAGTAAATAAACTGGAGAGACAAACTTTAACATCTACAGGTGAGCAGAGTGTTGGTAGTACAGAAGAAGTGATTAAGAAACGGGGCAAATCAACAACAAAGCTTAAAAACGTTAAAGGTGGCAACAGAAAGCAAGCAAGCAAAGACAAAGGAAGTTCAATCGTCCAAAATGTTCCTCCCATTTCTGCAAAAATTCCAAAGCTGAGTTCCTTATGTGCAAATCCATCCTCTCTTCTTTGCTATGGTGTAGTCAATGCACTGTTTGGCTACTCCTTCACCCTGTGCCTGTTCAACGGGGACACTGATTCACTCATGTTTGAATTCTGTGACATGATCCTTGCTCTGTCTGAGGCACTGAACTCAAACAGGGTGTTCAACTCTGTCCAAGAGGCCTTAGACTGCGGAGAAACTCTCATTTTGAGTGGCGGTTACCTTGACAAGGAGGACCCTCTTGCCCCAACAAGAGCGGTGGAAGCTGTGGCTCACATCATGACCGGCAGAGACAGAAAGGATGCTACAGGATACTGTCTGGCAGCCTTGAGTCAGCTTCGCGCAGCGCTCTCCCAGGCCAGAACAGCCCTGTCTAAAGATGGAGAAGAAGGGGTGAAGAGGCAGAAGTACTTCCTAGCAAGCAAAAAGTGTGAATTCTTTCAAGCCTGGGTGCTGGACAATGCACACCAGGTTCACAGACTGGCTATTGAACTGTGGAGCGAACACAGTAAAAGAGAGAGTGTAAGGAGCGGCATGGAGAAAGCAAAGACTGTAGTCGAAGATAATTTGAAGAAAGCAAAGAGGAAGGAGAAAACTAAGTTGATTGAAGAACTGAGCTGATGACATTTTTCTTGAACATGCGGATGTTTGTAAAAAATAAGTGTTGTAATAAAAGTCATGAAAATCAAAATGACCGTGTTTTACTTAACACCAAAAAGATCATTACTGGTCTGTCTTTAATAACCTCATGTCCTTTCAATATCTTCTTTGTAATATCAATACAGTTCCATGTAATTATCACTTAACATGCAACAGTTGCCACTACAGAAATATAGTTTTAATAATTTGTTGCCTTGCAAATTGAAATAGTAAAAGTTTAACAAGCTCAAACAAACAAGAAAACATGAAACAAAGCAAGCATAGTAATTAAGAAGTGAATGAATAAATAGAAATATAGAAATGGAATATTTGCTTATTTAAGTGAACATCTTTTACTGGGAAGTGTGGTCATAAAATTTTAAGAGGTTAATTTGGTTTTATTGTAGTTTTCTTGCTATTTTGTGTGCATGAGTTTGAATTTGTTTATAGTGACCCTTTATGGCAGGATGTGATATATAGATAACAATTCACAGGATATTATTGGAGGGTCCACTTATTAGTTGATTTTTTTTATGGGGGACTATAACCACCAAGTATAAGCTTTATCACATAAAGCAGGTGTGCACATACATAGTATCTAAGACATCCTGTTATCGTTTCATCTTGACACATTTTAAAACCTAATTTATTTACACTAACAATGTAACATAAGATAAAAAGAAATTTATGGAAGCTTTTTACCACATCTAATGAGCTCTGTGGGTGGCTGGAGTTTTATCAGTGGTTGTGGATAGATATTATTGCTCATTTCTCATTGCACAAACAAACTGTTGAGCAGGACCATGAAATGTGGATGAAAGCTGTGAACGTATGCAGAGCTGTCCTCCAGAGGTCAAGAGTAAACTTGAATGTGTAAAATAGATGTACATATACATAATACATTAGAGATCTTGTTTTCTTTTCATCTTTACACATTTGGAATGTAAATAAATAATTTTGCACTATTGCTATACAATAACAAGGTAATAAGAGTAAAAATAGTATGATAAAAAATAATAAGGTCCACTGATGAGCTCACATCTCATTTTTGTTTCCTGTGTCGAAAAAAATTAGAATGCTTGAAAGATATGTTGCTATGTCATCTCAACACGTTTTAAAAGATTTTAAAAAATGATTTGACACTCTCAATGGTACTCCAAGTGCAACAGGGAACGCACCGAAGAGTGATTGTGTAAAGAAAAGGCGCTGGTTCGGTGTTCTCGCGATGCTTTCTTCCGTTTACCGGTCACGTGGTGCGGACGTTCCTTCCATGCTGCGACAGAAAACATGGCAGCGCTCTTGAGATCAGCCCGCTTACTCAAGTTTTCGCCTTCGGGCTTGCTTCAGATCACAGGACCCAAAAGAAGCGGACCACCGCTCGGTCGGCTGTACAGCGGAGCTGTTGGCGGCAGAAGAGCCGGAGTTTGTTCCCGACAGATCAGCCGTGTTGGTGAAAACGCGTCCAGGTACCAGAGAGCGGCTAGCTGATGAGATCCACGCGTGAAGCTAAGATGTCATTGAGGCTCAATGACAGCCAAAGACACACGCGTGATAGAATACATGACCGGCGGAGTTAGATATTGTGTATTGACTTGTGTTGCAATATGTTTGAATAAGTGTTGACCGCTAGCTGCTCGGTTAACGTTAGCTAAACTGGCTCCTGGTTTATGCAAGGTGATGGTGAGACGTTGTGTAACCACGTTATGCTCACACTCTGTTTGACGACCTGTAATTTATCCAGTCAGTATGCAATGACACTGTTACTGATAGCAGACAGTGCTATCATTCTGTCTTTGTCCCTGAACGTTTTATATGAACTTAAATGCATCCTAGCTTTTAGCAATAGGCCCATCACTGAAGTCCAGGTTACTCAACTAGCATGCTGGAGCTAATTACATGGAAGTACATTGTTATTATTAAAACTGATATTTACAGTTTATATCATGAAGTGCTACAGAAACAATGGCCTCGGTTGAAAATTAATTAACTAGCTGCCGTGACCTACTTCAGGAAGACCTCCCTCCTCAAGGTCACAGCTCCTAAACCTACAGCCAGCATTTTAGCAGACAGTGCTGCACACAGATGATCTGTTTAACTTCCTCTGAAACACGTGCACTCAACACATCTTGTACTGCTGGGACAGTCTAGTAAAGCTAAACCCATCCATCCATTATCTATATGCCACTTAATCCTCACTAGGGTCGTGGGGGGCTGGAGCCTATTCCAGCTGACTCAGGGTGAAGGCAGGTTCACCCTGGACAGGTCACCAGTCTATCACAGGGCCACACTTAGAGACAGACAACCAAGCACACTCACATTCACACCTACAGACAATTTAGCATCACCAATTAACCTCAACATGTTTTTGGACTGTGTGGGAGGAAGCCGGAGAACCCGGAGAGAACGGGGAGAACATGCAAACTCCACGCAGAAAGATTCCGGTGCCCCCACCGGGACGCGAACTGGCAACCTTCTTGCTGCGAGGCAGCAGTGCTAACCAACTGCGCCACCCTGCAGCCCAAAGCTAAACCATCTCTGCTAAATGGGACAGGATAGTTTCTCTCACATGTACCAACAGGAGAGCTGTGTTAGGCTCATTCCATTCCTCTATCTTGTCTCCTCTCTCCTTCATCCTTTTCCCTGTCTCCTGCTGATCAGTCTTTGCATGCCAGCATGGAATATGTCCCAGTTGCTAAAATTCATCTCAAGGAGAGGGACACTTGTTGCAAGAGCTATGAGTGAGGAGGCACAGGTGTATCCTCAATGTATGCTTTGCTTAGTAGTGTTTTCGGCACCAATGATGGTATGAGACAGATGTAAAACACCTGGAGTATACTGAAATATACTATACATATATAATATCTCTTAATCACAATATTTAGCGCCTTCATCCTGCATAGCTCCAAAAAAAAGTTAATATATGCTGTAAGATGTCATGGACACTGTTGACAGAGATGATAAAATACGATGGTAGACTAAAACAAAACAATGGACAGATGATTCAGCTGTGTCACATGTCATATTTAGTCGATGTCGCTTTGAAATTACAGCTCTGAGGCTACAAGAATGTCTCATTTTGTCAAATACCTGTTGCCTCAACTTCTCTCTTCTTGTATCTCTTCTCCGCTCGCATGTCTGGTAGGACGGACTAAGTCATGAGGAGAGGAGTTAAGGAGATACAAACTAAGACGTTAGAATTACAGATGTTTAGAGATGTTTGATTCTCTCTGTCCTGCCTCCTCCCTTCCTTCTTCTCTTTCTGAATTATCATACTATGTTCCTAATCAAATCAAATTTTGTTTATATAGCACTTTTCATGTGCAACAACAACAACGCAAAGTGCTTTACAACATTTAAAAACAACAAAGCATTTAAAGACATTACAACATTTAAAAACATTTCAACATTTAAGAAAATGCTTTGGTGTCCATCACTTCCCTATAATTCTATTCATCTTTCCCTGTCTCCCTTTCCTCTCCTGTGGTCCTACACAGCCGTGTGTGGCCGTATGCAGTGGGGGGTGTGCGTAACTATGGTGCAGCCACCGAGCGGAGGGACGAAGTCAGCGTGGCGGTGCAGTCCAAGCAGGCGAATCAGTTTGACTGGGCCCTGGCCAAGCTGGACCACTCCGTGAAGAGGACCGGTCGCGTCACCAAGACACTGCTGCTCCGCATCTTCCATGATATCTGCAGGACAGGTAGGCACACAGAACAACAAGCACTGACACAGTTGCATGGATGTCCGACAACCAGGGAGACGGACTGCATTAATTGTGCAGACAAACTGGGGACACTTTAGTCAAATTGTAGCTGAAGTCCATTTGATCACCTGACAACCATGGCTGTGACCTCAGAGTTATTGTAAGCTGCACACTCGTGGGGCATCATTTGTTTGCAGCAAATTCTCGTTCTGTTTTATATTTTAATGTACTTTCTGAACTGAAAGTTAGATAGTTTTTGTATGAAACCTTAAGCAGTATTTTATTGTATTGTTTACTATGAGAGTGGATGCATTCTGTCACTGTCTATTTGTTGAATTCTTCTTCTTCTTTTTTTTTAAAATGCCGTTTGTTCCTGTCTGCTTGCAGGTTATCCCAGCAGTAACCAGGCCTTGTTGCTTCTGCGTAGCTGTGGGTCCCTGCTGCCTGAGATGCCGCTGAACGAACGCACTGAGCTGGCGCATCATGTTTGGGGGAAGCTGCAGGAGCTCCGTAAGAGGCCGCACCAGTGGCAGCGACCAAACCATCACAATGTCTAAAGCAGGGGTTGTCGAACTTTTCAGTCAGGTCTATGACCCTGAAAATAAATGTACCAAAGACTCACCACCTCTAATATCCCTGGAAATGGCTGAGGCATGCAAACATTGTGCCCAGCTTGTCCAAACACAGATATAATGTCAACACAAAATACCCCAAAGCCTAAAAACATAATGTTATTTCATAGTGACTTAATGTAGGTCAAGTAATGTCCATGAATATACTTTAGTACTCAGTAAACATACAGTATATAGGAGCAGCACAGGTGGTGTGTGTTTGTCTGTGTGTGAGAAGAGCAGCTTTTACTACTATTTTATTGTACTTTGGGACAATACTGACTAAAGCAATGCTATTTCTAATTAAGAACATTATGAAATGATCGTGAAATTCCTCACATATATAATATATCGTAATAGTTTTAGATATTTTAGCTGCTTGTAGTTGTTGGTTTATTTGAATAGAGTGGGACCGATTCGGTGCAAGTTATCTTAAAAAGACAAATTTATCATCATCATAATCCTCATATATTTGAACTTATGTTAAATAGATGAGGTTCATGAGTAGTGGTTGTCTGATGGAGTTTTTTTTTCTTTTTTCTCTCCAGTGGCTGAGGCTGATATTCAGTTTTCATCAGTATCTGTGGCTGATGTATAATGCAGATACAAGATGTTGGGTTTTTTTGCATCTGATAAAATACAACAAAATAATACAAATAACAGATGAGATTCACAATTGCTGAACTTAAATGAACATATGCATTTCCTCAGTTCACTTAAATAGATCTGCACTCAGTGTATCAGCTAAATAAATGTTCAGAGGTAATTAAAGAAACAAATATTTTAAAAAAAGGAAGCTATGAATGAATTAATGAAAAATTAAAGTTTTAGTGCATTTAACAAAAAGCGTTTATCAGCAGACAGCAGCATCTTCTACTGCTCTGCTAACATACTGACGTTGGAGTTTACAGATTTATCTCGGCTCATATACACTATGGATAATGGCCAGTTAGATGCAGTAGCTGGTCAGGCCCAAGTAGCCAGTTCAGCTGAGCCACAGTAGCTCCCTCGAGGCATCCCCTGATAATCAGCCATCGTTGATTATCTCAAAATGACATTTAATCGGCCCGATTAATCATCTATCACCATTCCTGAGAATTACCTGCAGCAGAAATAAAAACATGAGGAGTCGGTGAGTGTTACAGTTGTGTTGACTTCACTCTTCCTCCACAGGTGCACAGTATGATGTTAGTCACTACAACGCCTTGCTGAAGGTTTACCTGCAGAACGAGTTCGAGTTCTCCCCCACCGACTTCCTGGCCAAGATGGAAGCAGCTGACATCCTGCCCAACAGAGTAAGTCCTGCACCTCAGAGCATAGCAATGGATCGGAACGCATTAAGTACATCAACCACAAGAGTGTGAATGAAATAGAAAACACATCCCTATCAAGACTCTGGATGTGACGCAGAGCTTCTTGTAGCTGATTTTTCAGGCTAATTCTTCATGACCCACTTACAATAACAGATTTGATCTATTACGCTTCGAAGCTGGTTTCATCTGCAGCACGCAGATGTTGTAATATCTCCGTTGTTGTTGTGCACAGGTCACCTACCAGAGGCTCATTACAGCTTACTGCCAGAAGGGAGATATTGAAGGAGCCAGGTGAGCTAAATCTCTGTCCTGACTAACTGGTCAGTGAGTGTTTTATGTTCTGAGGGGAAGCAGTCGGTTGTGAAACGACGTTATTCTCAAATTTAGTCGAGTTTATGTTGTGCTTGTAAGTTATAAGATTTGTTACTTGAATGATTTTTTTCCCCTGATTAAAGCTACATAATTAAAGTTATTGATATTATTATTGCCTGCTTTGCCGTTTTAACTCTCTTCTCGGCTTTCTTTCAGCACCATACTGGGTTTCATGAAGAGCAAAGATTTACCCATCACCGAGGCTGTGTTCAGCTCCCTGGTGACAGGCCATGCCCGCACAGGGTGAGTGTCACTGCTTTTGTTCTCTTAATATACTGTATTTAATGGCACATAATAAGTGTTGGAGCAACTTGATTTCAAACAAGCTGTCATCTTTATCACTGTGCAGCGACATGGAGAGCGCTAAGAACATCCTGCCTGTGATGCAGCAAGCAGGAATCGAACCGGGTCCTGATACTTATGTGTCGCTGCTGATGGCGTACGCCGAGAGGGGAGACATTGACAGTATAAAACAGGTGTGTGTGTCAATCCAGTTGTTGTTTAGACGGTGTTAAAGCTTCTGCATGTACAGCGCCTATAAACGTTTGAAGTTTTCCCTTTTACTGCTTTTCTACAGAGAATAGTGGTCAACAGAATTTGGCTCTTTTGACAAGAATTTACTAAAAGTGACTCCTTAATGTCCAAGTGAAAACAGATTTCAGTAATTAAAAATATAAAATCAATGACTGTTTAAACTTTCACCCTCTTTAAGTCAGTATTTAGTCGAGGCAGCTTTGATTGCATTCACAGCATTCAGCCTGTGTGGATGGGTCTCAGCCAGCCATGCACATCTGGACACTGCAGTTTTATCCCGTTGTTCTTTACAGAACTGCTCAAACTCTGTCAGAGTGCAGGGATCATGAGCCCTTTTTAAGTCCAGACACAAATTCTCAATTGGATTGAGGCCTGGGCTCGAACTTGGCCACTCTAGAATATTCACCTTGTTGACTTTTCTGTTTAGCTTCGGAGAGCCACTTTAAAGGAGGTTAATACATATGCAGTGTCCAGATGTGCAAGGCTGAATGAGTCTTATCCACACAGACTCAACTCTGATATTACAGCCAAAGGTGCATCTACTAAATACTGACTTAAAGGTTGTGAATACTGATACAGTCACTTATTTTACATTTAAAGTTTTTAATTAATTGACACTATTTGGTAGAAGTTGGTTTTCACTTTGACAGTCTTTTTTTTTTTTTATGTTCTTGTCAAAACAGCCAAATTAAACTGATCATGATTCATTGTTGATTAACAATAAAAGTGGAAAACGTCCAATACTACGTCAATACTTAATAAATACTCTGTATATGTTCGTATCTAGTGAATGGTGACCTTTGAAATTCATCCTCCCTGTACACAGTTTTTCCTCGCCCCTATTGCCACCAACAACCAACTCTTTTCTTTTTCCTCTGCTTCTTATGTCACTTGTTCAGACTCTGGAGGCAGCAGAGAATGCAGACTGCAGACTGATGGACAGAGACATCATGCAAGTCATCTTCGTTCTGGCCAAGTCCGGATACCATGAGCACATCCCTGAGATGATTGAATGTTTGAAGCACGAGAGGGGCTACGTACCAGGTACACACATATATGTCATGTTTCTCCATAGAACTCACTGTAGTCCTCAGCAGCTAAAGAAAGATCTGTCAAGAAGACTGCTCAGGTGCTAGGTACGATAAGATACATAAGATGAAATAAGAATACATTAATCCCACAGTGGGGAAATTTGCAGTGTTACAAAAGCAAAGGGGATGCTGCACAGAAAAATAAATGAGAAATGAACAGAAGTACTGTTCATATTGAAAAAACATTGCTTCATATGTCGAATTCAGATATTGCACCGATTTCTCTTAATATGGAAAACAGCAACTTTGTGATAGCGTGATGTTGCACGGGATTAGTATAAATGAGCAAAATATTGATATGTGTTTTAAAAAAAATAACTTTCCACAAAATTAAATCTGATCCCTGGGCTGCAAGGTGGCTCAGTGGTTAGCACCGTTGCCTCGCAACTAGAAGGTCGCCGGTTTGCATCCCGGTGAGGACACCCGGAATCTTTCTGCGTGGAGGTTGCATGTTCTCCCCGTGCAGCGTGGGTTCTCTCCGGGTTCTCTGGCTTCCTCCCACACAGTCCAAAAACATGTTGAGGTTAATTGGTGATTCTAAATTGTTGTCTGTCTCCAAGTGTGGATAGACTGGTTACCTGTCCAGGTGAACCTGCCTTCACCCTGAGTCAGCTGGGATAGACTCCAGCCCCCCGTGACCCTAGTGAGGATTAAGCGGTGGATAGATGATGGATGGATGGAAGTCTGATGCTTACTAGAGTTGAAAGATAGTAAAAGTTGGGGCTTAGCAATTAGACTTTGCTGTACAAATCCTGATTTTATAACAGATTTTTACGTGACTGCAGTTTTCTTGGCCAAATGGGGAGCATGTACAGTACTGCTTGGAGCTGTATTTAAATAAATAATGTTGTGTGTGCATCACTAATCTGGCATTACATAGTAGCTCGCTATAGAAACAGTAATCATGTGGTCAGTGACTTTTGTTATTTTTGCTTATTGTCCATAAAAAGAAAACCTGCTAATTCAGTTGTATTGATCTTTATTGTAGTGGCCCAATGGGCTGTAGATGATCTGAGATCCGTTCGTATCGACCCTCATGGTTCAGCACGTGTGTGAAGTCCAGAATAATTGCAAAGTTATACGGCTTTACTGCCAGTGTTGTTTTATAAAGTACGCAGATTGGCAGTCAGAGCAGAGTCCAAAGCAGTGATCCAAATCCAAAATTCTGATCCCAAAAATTGATCGTATCCGTGAATCGAAAGCCGTGATATGATCCTAACTTTTAATTTTGCTGACCGACTTGTCAGTGACATGACGCCGAGCAGAATCTACATTTGTTGTTTTTCCCTTGCAGATGCCATGAACTTGTGTCTGAGCCTCATCACTCAGGGCCAGGAGGACACAGCTTTTCTCATCCTGAAGACCCTCCCTGTGGCGCAGTTCGAAAACTTAGGTGACGCCGAACTGGGCAACTTCTTCTTGAGACACCTCGTCAACAGGGACACGGTACGGCGGCGGGAAAGAATTCAGTCCTCGGTCATTTGTGTTATAGAACAGGATTACTAAATTACTTCTTAACTATATTAAAGAGTCAGTACTTGTCAGCATGTGGTTGTTTCCTGGCATTCACTTTTACACTCAGCTGCAGTGTTTTATTTTAATGATCAAATGTAATTTTTGATTCTTGTATGTGCTCTACAGTCATTGGAGAAGATCTCTCGCTACTGCAAAGAGCTCCAGGAGTCCAGTCTGCACTCAACACCGCTCACATTCTCTCTGTATTGTGCCCTGGAGGCCAAGAAGACTGGTACAGCTCATGCTTTCATTTACTTGGATTTAGAGAATCCTTCACTTCCACATTAATGCAGATGTGTCTTCATCGGATAAAGCTACACACACTCGTTTGTCTGCATTTGGTGGATTGTGAAAATAACATTAGGGCATCAACAGATGTTCTGGCTGCCAGTTAAATACGGTTTTGAACTGAATTATTCTTAATTTGTCTTGTTTCTTTTACAGATACATGTTTAGAGCTGATGAAGTTGGTCAAGGCGGAGGGCTTACCTCTAAGGCCTCACTACTTCTGGCCGCTCCTCGTTGAATACGGGAAAAACCAAAACACAACAGGTACAAACACACACACACACACACATACATACATATATATGTTGGCACTTCAAATTTGTGAAGGCACTTTTGGACACAAGGCTTTCCCTTCTCCATGATGACCTTAACCTACATCCAAGTCTGACCACAACCTCCAAACCAAGTTCTAACCTTCAAACAGGCTTTTGAAGGTGTGACAGACATTTGAGGATGCCATCTTGGGCTTTGGAGAACACCGACTGACATTTTTAAAATCATTTTCTGACATTGTATAGATCAAACTACTAATCAAATAATCAAGAAAATATTTTAAAGTGAACATAATCATTCGTTGTAGCCCTAATCTAGTATTAATGTGCTGATTTTTCACTTTAGCCTCACTCCAGGGTTTTTCCATCGCAAATCATCAGATGCCTTCTGCTTGCGCATAAGTACATTAGATTACAATTAAATATACGTCAAGGCATGGAAATTTTCCCACTAGAAAAATCCCACTAACCCAACAGATCTATATATTTGGTCGTGGATATATTATGTCATCCTAATGACCAAAGTGATAATTCTCAAAGAAATTACACGAAACAAGTTGACTACTCTCTTCCAGACCAAAAAAAGTATTCAATACATTTTGTTTTGTATTATAGTGACATGCAACTGGATGTGGTTCAGAAAACATCATTAGTTGCATTATAAATTTGTGGTAATGTGAGCTCAAAGAAGGGACTTTTCATGAGGGCTTATTATTATATATCTTTTCTAAACATATTTCAACTCACCTGTAATCAGAGAATATTTAATATGATTGTCCAGTATTGCAGTTTCTGTATTAATGACACGATGGGAAATAACTGTGAGAATTACAGGCTTTTAACTTTTATAGTTCCTGGGATATAGTCATCCAAACATAGCCTCATATTTATTTGTGCTAAAAATCTTGCTGATTGTGGGTCGAAGAGCAATATTATTCAGGGAAGTGCTTGATATATCAATCTGAGATTTTGCAGATATCATTTTAAATAGTGTATGATAAAGTTTCGAGCAAATCAGAGACGATCGAGCAGAAACTACTCTGAAAATGTGATGATTTGAGATGGAGTGACCCCATAGATAAGGTTCAAATGAGCTTTTTATTTTGTTCCTTAGTAACACGATGCAGTAGCTGTAGATATACAAACAAAACCAAGCCACATTTTTTGCTGTTCATGTTCTGAAATATTTACTGCTTATGTACTTTTTCTCTCGGCTTCTTGAGGCCATAGCTTGAGAGACTCCAGTAGATCCTGAAACTAAACATTTGTTGTGAGAAGCTCGTAGTTGGATCCTGGATCCACCTCAGACTCAGTCTCTTGTGGACGTGAGCACCGAATGGATGCTACAAGCAAAGAAAAACACGCTTACCAGCTGTTTGTGCGTCTGATCTGAAATGAAGCAAGGTTTCTAGTTGAGCACGATATTAGCACTTTTTGAGCATGTGTTTTTGTGTGTGTGTGTGGTGTAGAGGGGATTATGACTTCCTCTGTACCAGAAAGAGCTTTTAAAGGAGAGTTCCCTCAAATATTAATGACCCACAGAGTGGTGCAACTGGGACAAATTTCACTGGGCTGGGGCAGTGAAGGGCAAAGAGGTCTGATCCCTGCGTGAGAGAGTCGGAGCGAGAGGGGACGAAACAAACACGTACATACAAATACGAACACACACACGTCTCTCTGGAGAGCTCTTGGAATAGATTGCAAATTTTAGAAGACGTCCCGACTTCACATCAGTTTCCGGACCAAAAAGACACTTTGACTTTCAGAAAGTGAGTTCAGACATGAATGTCATTTTTTTATCCGTCTGTCTGATCTCTGAACAGTTTCCACTTTTAACCCCGTGGTTGCTTCTCTGTAGTAATCAGTTGTGCTGTTTCAGTTATGTAAAGCCCGGCTTGTTTGAAGTAATCTTTGTTACGTATTACACATGATACAGACTCAGAAGAAAGTAATTTGTCATCCTAGTAGAACAGTAGAATTGGTTTTCTCACGTTTCTTGCACAAACATATGCCGTGAACTGACACCATATTGACTGTGCAGAAGCTGCTTCAAGAAGAAAGTAGTGCTCAGTGTGTATGGATGCTTGATCTGGTGACCTTTGCACCATAGTGGAGGCGCCTAAACTCCCTTGTTAAGGACACTGGGAGGGGGTTCAGTAGCCTAAAGCGTCTCCCTTGCCCATGCCCACGTACATGGATGCACATCCAGGCCTGAGGCTGAGGGGATCAGAGGTCATTTTGCTTCAGTTGCTTTCTTCAAATCCTTTGTCAGGCTTATTTCTCAGTCCAGCCCTTCGTCTGTCCCTCAGTCTGGTGCTCCATTTACACTAAAGGGACATGTGTATGTTCACGTTTCCCAACGTGGATGCAGCATAGAACTGCCTTATAATAGTTGGGCAGCATGTTGTATGTATAAGTGGCTCTTGACTGCATTTGTGAGTGACATGTTTTTTGCGAAAAGTGAAGAGCAGTAACTGGCAGCATTAAATCTGGCAGCTGAAGCAGTACAGCAAGTCTTCTGGTTCTTTAAAGACTTAAACCACTGAACCCCAAAACCTATCAGCTGGTTTGAATGACATGTTACCTTTAAAAAATGGTGCCAATGGGCCACCGCTGTAGCTCAAATGGTTGACCTGGTGACCGATGTACAGGGGCTATAGTCCCAGACGCAGCAGTCATGGGTTCGAATCCAGCCCGTGGCCATTTGCTGCAGGTCCCTCCCCCATTCTTCTACCTGCTTTCCTGTCTCACTCAATACTGTCCCGTCAAATAAAGGCAAAAAGGCCAAAAAAAAAAAAAAAGAAAGTTGCCAAAATTACAGAATTTTTAAAGCCAGAAGCTTTAGGCAGTAAGTTTTCTGACGGTCTTTGAACTACTCGTCTGTGACGTGCCATTAGGTCAGGAAACATAATAATGTCTAAGCTTTAAATTGTGATATATTATGGAAATCATTTTATTATATATGTCTCTCTCTTTTTTTAAAAAAATCTTCAAAAGATATTGGTTGCAGTAACCAGAGTTGGTGAAAAACAAAAGATTGTGAGCTTCTTGTTGCAGCTGTGATGCCACAAGTGACTCAGCTGCAACCGACTAAGAAAAAATTCAGGGACTTTGAGCCAAACTGAGCTGAACTAGAGGCTGTGTTTAGATAGAGCAAATAGGAGACAGGTGTGGAAACAAATTAGACATATGAGTTGTAAAATATTTGTAGAGAAACTTATATTTTGTGAAATTAGGAATCAGAAAAATTCAACTTCTCTTTTCTCTTTTTCTATAATTTATATCCTTAAAACCGTGGCATGATGCACGAAAGCCAACTGTGAGTCCTCCATGGTTGTGCTGTTTCCATACAGGTGCAGGACTTTATGTTGCAGCATAAAATGAGCCAACAGTGAGTGAAAATCTAAGAAACTGCTTCCGGTCCAGAGAGTTAAAGACAAAAGGGAGCAGGACTGATAACTGAAAATAATGAGTATATTTCGTGGAGCTACCCATTTAAAGCACATATCTCATTCAGTGTTCCCGGGAAACATTAAATGAGACAGATTTTCTTGTAGAATGTGACAGGTGCCAGAATAATTGCAAGAGTGACTTTTTAAAAAAAAAAAAAAAAGCCACTTCTGTCAGAGAAAGACTGACAAATCTTTTAATTTTTTGTAGCTTTTTGTTGGTGTCATACAAACCGTGTTCTTTGCTTAAAAGCAGAAGCTTTTGACAGGTACAATTTCTGTGTTGAATCTGCATTCAGCGGTACACAGACAGCCGTTTTTCACATGGCTCTTTACTTTCATTGGACACTCGTCTTGACACTCGGTGGAAAACCGGTCTTGAGGTTTTTCTTCTCCATTTGCCTCCTCAGACAGTTTAATGGCTCAGCAGGTGCAGTTCGTCGGGAGTATTTCTGTCCCGAAATCCTGCCTCCGGTGAAGGAAACGCTTATTTTATTTCTCTTGTTTTTGTTAGCGATGAGCTTGTGGGGGGGGAAATCGTCTCAGTGACAGATAGTCGGCATTTGGAGACTTGTCAGAATTCACAACTCATTAGTGAATGTAGCCTGTCAGATGTGCTCAGCAGCGGCTTGGTTTTTAAGTGCTTTATTTATGCTGAGCTCTGAGTCTCTCTTTGGGGTTTTTTAGAGCGATTAATAAATCATGTATTTTTCTCCTGTCAGCCAATTGACAGCATTTGAGCTGGCAGGGGAGGAGGAACCGGTTAGACCAGTGTGGGCGACGCCGCCGCCGATTGACTTCTCTGTGTGGTCGAGACAGATTCTCAGCCTGGATGGTGAGATGTCTCAGCGCTTGGCTTGGCAGCGTGAAGAAGAGGAGCAGACATGAGTTTAAACATGCACTAACCGCACACACGTGGACTCCTACTCCGACTTAAACTCTCTAACCGCACCGTCTCGAAGCTGCACAAACACGTCAGACAGCATCCATTTAGGTATCACGGTGCGGAAAGAAAGGAAGGACGGAAGGAAGGAAAGTGGAGAAACTTCTCTCTCGCTGGTACACTCGCTTGTTTCCGATGGTGTTAGCCTTAACCCTCATGAATGATGCAGCTCCTCTATTTTTCCCCCTTTTCTCTCGCTGCTGGTCGCTCACACTCATTGGCTGCAGGAGGTGTGTGTGTTTGTACTTGTGTGTGTGTGTGTGTGTGTGTGTGTGTTGGGGGGGCTTTCGGGGGGCAGTGCAGGTGATGTGACTGATGCAGAGTGACTTGATTTCATGTAAATGCAAGCGCTCTGAGGGAATTCACTTTGGATTACGCGCCCCACTGTGCACGGCCCATGAAATATTAAGCGCCGTGTCACTTTTTGTCCACAGGTGTCACTAGCGGGCAGAGAGGCCAGAGCCGCGGAATTGGAGGGCAGCGATCGGAGGGAAGGGATGGGGAGGAAAAAAAGAAGAAAAAAAAAAGTGGAAAGGAGGGGAAGAAAATCCCTTTACATTTTGATGAGGTGTGGATTTGGCGGCTTTAGCGAAAGCATATGCTCGGCCGTATTCGCCACCTGCCGCCAGCTAGTCGATGCTTGTCAGTCCTCGCGACGCCACGCGCTCTTATCGCTTCTGACATGGTGGAGCAAGTGGAAGAAAAAAAAAAAAACAAAAGGGAGGGGAAAGTGCAGAGGAAGGAAGTGTTTCTGGCCTCCTGTGTTTTGGGTGATGAGGGAGATGTAAAGGCTCCCTTGTCTGGTCTGCTTTCCTTCCTGTAAACCACCTGACCCGCTTTATGCGCCCTCATCTTCTTTAACTCTTTAGTGCACGGCCGTCTGTAATGCCGTCAGACTAACCCTGAACTTTATCCCGAGCTATTAGCTGGATGAGAGCCGGTCATCATCTCGGTTAAAAGAACGGAAGCAAATGAGGATGAAATCGCAGCTGAAACGGACGTATTCTTGAACTCTCTTCTGTTGCCTTGCAGCAACAAAATCCACCTTTAGAGAGTCACACACAGGGAGAGATGGAGAGACAGATGGTGTTGGGGGAGAAAGAAAAGGGGAAGTGACAGGTACTCATGTCCAAGGACGGGCGGAGATGACAGCGACCGGTTCGCTCCACTCCTCTTTTCCTCTCTTTTCTCCTTCCTCACTTCTCGTCTGTGACAGTTAACCTGAAGACATGAATCTGATGGTGATATCTTGTGACCACTGCCATGCTTAACTCACTACTTTGATACTTCTTGCCTGGATGGTATGTCAGGCTTTATGCTGACCAACCTGGAGAGGTCTCTACTCTTCTCAGTTCTCCTCAGTGCCAAATTTATATTTAAATTGATCGGACAGGGGAAAGAAGCAAAAAGGCTTCTTTACATGTGAGGATTATGGAGGGAAAAGATGAAAAACCAGGAGGAGAAATTACTCAACTAATATAATGTAATATTTTGTGTTGTGTCTTTATGGGTTTAGAGGGATCAGTGTTTTTATCAGGATTTGGTTTTGAGGATTTTTCCCCAGAGAGAGGGATGAGAAATGGGTCTGATTGGTGATCGGTGGTATGAGCCCTCACCACTCGGCCCTCAGTTTGCTCCCAGGTTGAAGCAGTTTTCATCCCCATCTGCCTTCATCCTCATAACAAAAGGCCGTGTTCCACTGGAAAGGACCTTGCAGGCCACTTCAGGTTGGCTCAAACCTTTGTGCATGTTGTGACTGCAAGAATTATCCCTTAGAACATCTTTCAGGGAGAAAAGGTACTTAGTGCAGTACTTCTAAGCGGCCATGAAACTCTCCTGTGTGGGTCTTGATGCTGATAGTTTAAATTCAAAGGAGACTGATTTTATTTAACTTGAAGAGGACAGTAAGTGCCATTTTTTTTCCAGCCCAATCAATGGACTCATTGACTCGTCTTCAACAACGTAAAATTCACCTTGAAAGTGGACATAACAAACTGTCGGTGCTGCTATTGGCTTTTGTGCTCATGTAACTAGAGTTATTTCGATTAACGAGTATTTGTTGTTGTTTTGGAAGCCTTGGAGTTAATGAAGCTGTTGGATTCTTCATTGAAATGGAGACAAAAAGCCTGACAGGACTGATTACGAAGCTGAATCATGCAAAAGTTTCTGCAGTCAAAAGCTTCCTAAAGTCCAACAAGACTGCAGAGACTTAACTGCAACTACAGTTCCTCGTCTTTTTCTCTTTCTGCTTGAGTCTTGTCCCTTTTCCAATCCAGAAAGCGAGGTTACCCATCCAAGAAATCATCCACCACACAACCACATGTAAAACCACCATGTGTTGTTTTTATGGTTTGGTGTGTCTAGTGATTCAACAATTTAAATTTGTGAGCTTCTGAGGTGCTGGTAGGTCGATTTTGTCACCTGCTGATAGAGAAAGTCTGATTGTTTCCTCATTTCCAGTGTTTGTGCTCATCCACATGGCTGCAGGCAGTAGCTCTGTATTTACTGTACAGGTATGAGTGCAGTCAAATCTTTCCTTTATACAAACCATGAGAAAGTAAGTGGTACGGCTGATGTAGTTTTATTTTTTACTGCTCAGCTGAAATGTGGCGTTACTTTGCCTTAGGCCTGTAAATAAAGTGAATGAAACACGGTCTGAGGTCCAAAGGGTTAAAAGCTCTTCGTCACAGACATGACTAGCAAAAAAAACAACAACACAAACACGCTTGTAGGACAACTAAGAAGTGCTGATGATCGCTAAAGCTCATGTGTGGAAAACCGGAAAGCACGTGAGGGGAGGCCGGCGCGTGCATTTAGAACTCCGGCTCTCCATTCACTTGTTTTCTGTCTGTGTGGCTCACCGTGAAATTGATTATGGATTATTCAGGAGGAAAGCAGGTGCTCCCTCTCTTCTTTCATAAAAAAAGCTTGGGTGAAAGCGATTAGGGGGTAAGAATGGACTGGCGGACGGCCGAGCGGATGGATCCTCCATTGAGAAGAAAGAAGGAGATCGCCTGTGTTCTTGAAAGCTCTGCAGATGGATAGTGAGAGGGGAAGCTGAATGAGTGATATGGAGGCTCGGGATGGATGGACCGGTTCAGGTAGCCCTACCTGGGATAATGCAGCCCAGCCGCAGGTTTTAATGGCGTATAAAAGCCCGGACTCATGTTTTATTCAGCTGAAGAGAGAGACTGCCAGGTGAACACATACGTCCCAAGAGGACGCAGAAACACAGATATATATACATATGTGTGTGTTTCAGAGCCTGAGTGGAGTGTGAACACACGCTGCGTCTCGAGGTGTGTCAACTCAAGGAAGCACTTTAGGGTAGTTTGCTGAAGTCCGCATGGGGACAAGGTGCATCGGTACACCGGATGTGCACATATAGAGCATACATTGTGGATGCGTCGATATTTTCGTTCTCCCTCTGAACTGCATTAAGAACAAGACCTGTTTATGTGCTCATTTAGGTGCCTGTACTTCACCATGACGCTCCCAGACATATGCAAAGTGCTGCCTCCATATGCGCACACGCTCGCACACACACACACACTTGCAGGCATGTGGGGAGCGTGCGAGAGGCTGTTCCATATGCATGCGGCTGTTTTGGCCTCCTTCCCTGGGGCAGGACCTCAGGGTTGTGCTGGAGAACAGGGCGAGAGTCCACTCCAGGCCAAGTGCGTGTTTATGCGCACACATCCGGCAGTTGGAGGGAGAGGGGAAAGCAGCCATTAGCATTGTGCCAATGAAGGGTGTGTGTAGCAGTGCTTACGCAGCTCCGGGCCTGTACAGGAGAGTGAGTGGAGGGAAATGTGTGTGTCTATAGAAGTGCAGAGTGCGACTGGAGTGGATACAGAGAGGTTGGTTTGGCCTAAGTGTTGTTTTTCTGAATGTCTGAGATACACATAAAATACATTAATATTATCCCCACTTCTGTTGACCACAACTATGGATTGATGATATAAAATTCAATGCTGTAGCACTTGATGATTGGGAAGTCAATTAAGTTCATTATTTATAAAAGTCATTTATCATTTACAGAAATCCAAACCTGCACTTTTTACAGCTTTTAAAGTTTGTGCTACTTTCTTTTTTTTTTAAACCTCTCTGAACTCCGATCAATTTCTGGGCTTTTTCTGCTCCCGTCATGTTTTAACTCACTGTGGGTTCATTTTTCATCACATTATTACGTCCTGCCCCTCCATGGAAACAGCACAACCTTGGCTAGAAGTAGAGAGAACTCAAAATGTCTTGTGTGCAGTATGACAAAGTTATAATACCATAAATCACAAAAAAAAAAGAGAAAGTAAGAGCTCACAGATGTTACCAAAACTAAAGGACTCCACATATTATAAATAGGCTTACATTTCTAATTTAACTCGCTCCTATGTATACCATTTTTGAGCCATGTTGCCTTCATTTCATTGATCAAGCATATTTTACTTTCCTCGCAGCCTCTTTAGACATTTTATTTTATTTTTTTTTACATCTTTGTTGAATTTTTGAATGTTGAAACTCACAATTTTAAAGTTAAAAATTTGACTTTTTTTTTTTTTTTTTTTAAAGAGTTTCCTGCAATTTTTAAGATATTTTAAGACTTTTTAAAAAAAAAAATTTTTTATAAAGAAAACTTACCTCTCAAGGCTGCCAGCTGGTTTTAAGGTTCAGATGGTTTAACAGTGGAATAAACTGAATATTGTTGGGTTTGGAATCATTACTTTGAAGACACTCGGATTTTGGGAACTCATGCTGGACATGCACTATTTTTTTTTTGGAGCATTTCTAGACTAAAACTGATTTGTGTACCATGAAAAGAATAAGTAGAATCCTTAATTGCAACTCTAATCTCATTTTATATCCAATGTGTGCTTTCAGGAGTTTAATTTGGTCTCTTTCTGTGTGTGTCTTGCAGGCGTGCTGGAGATAATAAAGGCCATGCAAGGCTTGGGCGTCTCATTGGACCTCGCGACTTTATCCAACCACGTCATGCCCCTCTTCTCCAGCGCAGAGGCAGCTCAACAGGCCTTCAAGGTAACCCATACGTCCGTGTGTGTGCTTACATGTGGCCATTGATAAGTTCCCTCTGACCAAAAGGTGATTTTTCTCCGCTCAGGCTTTCGGCATCACCACGAAATCCGGGGGCTTCGTGTGCTCAGGGATCCGCTTGTTGGCTGGGACCAACCTGGCCGAACTGTACACCCTCAGTAAGAACTCCGACACAGTCCAGAGATCAGCATCTTGAGCAGCCCGCATCATAAAAATCGCTGCTTCGCCTGCGGGCTAATTGGCCCGGCGTTAACACACACAGACACACACATACATTTGCCCACTTACTCCTCTGCGCTCATCAGGCCTTTTAAGAGATTAGTCTGTGTGAATATGTAAAAAGCGAGAACGAGAGGCGCCTCAACTGGCAGAGGAACGGGATAGAGGAGGCTGTTAAATAATGGATGACTCGTCCTGTTTTCTGTCTTTCGTCTCCTTTTAGGCTCAGATGTCCACCGCTCATTTTCACATACATCGCTCTGTTTTCTCTTTATTCCAGAGTCTCCAATGAATTTTATTTCCACCACCTCTCGTGAAGAAAGATTTGTTTTCTGCAACATTTTGTATATTTCTCCTCATAAAAGTTAATATACACAACCACCAAAATAAGGTTTCTTCAAGAAGTTTATGAAACAAGCTGCTCTTTAACTTCTTTAAGTTTACTTTTGTTTGCAGCTGCAAATAACTAATAAATCTATCAGTTGTTGTTTTTTGATTAGTTGTTTGGTCTATAAAGTCCTTAAATGTCTTGTTTCAACCCAAAGACATTAAGTTTAGTGTCATAGAAGAGTAAAGAAACCAGAAACTATTTAAATTTAAGAAGCTGGAAGCAGAGGATTCCTCCTTCTTTTTCTTAAATAAATACACAAACAGACGAAAAATCGATTTGTTGTTGGAGCTCTGATTTGTACTCGTCTTGATTTCTGTCTCATTTTTGTGCTTTGGCCTCTCTGATGAGCTCATAGGAAGCTGATGAGCTGCTTCTTTTCCAGCAACATGTTGAACTTCACTTTGAATTTCAGTGTTTGGGCCAGATTTCAGCACAGAGACGAGACAGAGGACGTAACCACATGATCAGCTTCATACACGAGTCCTGCTTTACCTCAGCGTCCTAAATCTTTTTTTAAAAAATGCAGCTTTTTCTCTTATTTTACTTGTAAATTGAACAGTTTTGGGACTTGTGGTCACACTAATTTTTACTTTTTTGGCACTAATAAGGCAGCTGCAGCCCTATAAAACAGTATTTGTCTTGCATTGGTTGATTCCTGTTTGAGGGCGTGAATGAAAAATGCTGCTCTTTCCCTCAACACTAACCATTCAATATCCTTCTGAGCAAAGCATCACGCTGCATCTGTTTTACACGAGCCCATCTGTCGCCAACGAGCGAGATTTCAGAAACATTATTTTCCACATACAACCACGTTGTTTAAACCACGTGTAGACAAGTTGTGACCGTTTCTGTCTGTCTCTTCTACTTTCTAGTATCAGATCCCTCCTTCCCTCCGTTGGACATCCAGGTTTTCTGCAACAGCCTCCTCACAGGTTTCAAAAAGTGAGTCAATTAGCCCGTCGCCTGTTTATGTCTTTACGTGTCCTCCGTCATTTTCGATTCCATATTTCTGCATATTTTGCCTCAGAACTCCTCGCTGGTGTTTTAGGGAGGCCTGTAGCGCCGTGGAGGTCACTGCGGCATATGCTACGAGTATGACATGTGCAGCCTATCACACCATCTACGGCGTCTGTGTGCATGTGGGCAGCTGCAGGGAAAAACACTACAGCACACACACACACTAATACTTGGGTGCCTCATGCATATGGAGGCCGTCATCCCTCGGCTCTCGCCCCAAAGCACCGTGGGAGATATGTAAATTAGCAGATGCCCACCACTGCCCCTCGTAGCCAGACCTCGGCACCGGTCTCAGTCGCTCTCACACTCTCAGACGCACAAACACTCGCTGAGCCTCAGGACCGGGCTCTGACCCACGGGCTTTTGTTGAAGGGGTGTTTATGAATATTTACAGTTTAGCACTACACACCCACACACACACAAAAAAAAACACTCCGACCCCTCCCCGAGCGAAGCTGGAGGTGAGTCAAAGAGAAAAGTGCTGACTTGTCTGCAGGGACCGAAGTTATTTCCGCCGCTACGCCAGAATACGCTCAGTCGAGCTCAACTTTGAGCTTTTCACTCGGCCAGGGCGTTCTTTGTTGTAGGTAATGTGTTTGTTAAGAAACATAAAGGATAGAATAAAGATTGTGTGGATTCTTCCCAGTGATGCAGTTTCCTTTTTAAATAAATGTGTCATGTTTTTTATATTTTAAGCAGGGAAACAAAGAGGTGGAAGAAGTACTCGGATGTTGTAGTTGTGTGACATATCACATCATAGAAATACTCTCTCACAGGCAAAGCCATGCATTTAGTTTTATACTTAAGTGAAAGCACAGAACAAAGAAATATTACCAAAAGTACTCATAATGCAGACTGACATATTTTCTGATGATGATTGTGCTCATCACTTTAATGCTGCAGCTGATACTTTAACTACTTTATCTGCTGGGTAGCATGTACATTTTTATCTTCATCTATAATATAACATCATAATTTATTTGTTGATTATATTCTGTGTCATTAAGCTCAATCTGCAACGTAAATAAAGTCATTAACTAAATGTGAAGGAGTTCAAATTAGACGTCTTCCTCTGAATTGTAGTGCAGTACAATTCTTAAACTAATATCCATGCAACAATACTCGAGTCCTCACGTGCAATACTCGAGTAAATGTACTGTAGTTACAAAATTGGGTTCTTGGCAGCATAGTTTTATACTTTCGAGTTCAAGGACGTGTGAAAATATTGTAACCAGAGTAAAAGAAAGTTGAAAAATGTCCAGTAGAAAGACGGATAGCAGCAACAAAGGCAAGATTATACAAATTAATGGAGTGTACCAGATATTTTTCTCTGCATCTGTGCATCCATGTGTCCTCTCCATGTTTATAACTTGAGGTTTTAAGTCGGTGTATCTGCTAATTGTTAGTCTTTTTTTTGTGTGTGTGTGTCTGAATCCACTTCCTCCATTTGCTTTGCTCTCGTTGCATTAGCACACACACACACACACACACACACACACACACTCTCTTGTGACGGTTAGGTTGCCTGACAGGGTCATAATTGGGCTTGTCACTTGGGGAGTGTGTATGTGTGTGTTTGCGAGCGCCGTGTCATTGCAATGCGGGACCTGCCCCTGTCAAAGACAAGGTCAGGGGATAATTTAATCATTAAAGACCTCTTCTTCTCTCCTCTCATCTCCCCCTCTCTCCTCCTTTCCACCAACTCGCTGACAACGCCAGAAATGTCACACATTGTCATCATTTAGCCCGAGCGTGTGCGCGCGTGACTTTGTGTGTCGAGTGTGTCTTTTGTGGTTTTCCCGGGCTTTTGTGCTGCCGTCTCTGCTCTCTTGTACTGCGGGATTGAGAGTGTCAAACTGGAAAATCCGTCGCTCGTTTCTCGGCGTATTGTATTGTGCTACACTGTCAATTCAGTCGTTATGGCAACATGACGGCGTCACTGTTACAAGTACTCGAATTCAGGCGTCACATCTTTTTTTTTTGTTGTCAGAAAAAACACCTCGCTTAATTTATCTGTCTCTAAAATGTAATATATATATCAGTACGTAGAGAACTGGATGTGTCAAAATGTGGAGGAAAAAAAAAACAGGAAAATGTTCTAAAACAGTTCTTGCGTCTCATTTTTACCCGATGCTTTCATCTGTAGCCTTTTGAAATAACTCTTACAACAGATTTGTAGATGTCAAGGTAACCAAGATCAAAAACCAACAAGAAAGCAGGAGATTAAAGTTCGTCAGGCTGGAGTTTTTTCAAGAAATGTGTTCATGAGACGTCGCCCCAGATGTGTGGATGCCCTTTTATGTTTTGTAACCGAAAAGCAAAAAAGAAACCTTCTCTTATAACCAAATTGCACATTAACTCTGACAAGTTGGAGTCTCGTTGACCTGCTGGTGCTTCACGTTGACTCATGTCTTGTCCTCTACTGCCCCCTGCAGGTTCAATGATATGGACTCCATGGTGAAGGTAAGACGTCAAAGTGTCCACACAGCCTGTGAAGAGTGACCAACGAGTACAGAGAGGGAGGATTTTAGATTTTGAAAGTAGTTGATTAGCTGGAAAAGATGCATCAAATCACCTTAGTGTGGGGGGAAGAAAGGGAGCACAGTCACTAAAGTTAAAAGTAGATTTTTAGTATATCAGGTGGAGCCTCAGCTGCCTTTATGAGGGCTTATTCCTTAATAATAAATGATAAAGAAGGTATTTACTGTTTGCTACATGTAGAGTTTAAGAAGACACATGTAGGATGATGAATGCCATCTGATCCTTTCTATACAGTATTCTGAATACGTCACATATAAATGAATGTATAAATACAGAAACGTTTAGGGTCACTATTCAGCTCAGGCAGGATTTTTGCAAGCACAGAATTAATTTACACGTATGAAACTTTAATTTTTTACAAAATGTAGAAGTTGGGATATTTGAAAGGGGGGAAAAAAAGTTAATACTAACAGAGTGGGAGTGGATCTGTAGGACTATGCAATCATTTTCTGTGGCTATTTAAACGATTCTTTCTGTCCCTGCTGTGAGATTTGCTGTCAAACCTTTGTTTTACTTAGTTTGTGTCAAATTTTCTTTTCCTCCTAGATTGTTGTGCTCTTATACAACGATGGGCGCTTCACCAGACGCGGCGTCAACACTACCGGTAAGGAAATATTTCTACGTGTTGTTCTCCTCCGTGAGGCGCATCTCGCATACAAGGACACGTCTTTCATGTCCTTGTAGGTGTGTGTGTGTGTGTGTTTGTGTGTGTGTGTGTGTGTGTGTGTAGGTGAGAAAGAGAGAAGGGAGGACGCCTGTGCACGTATCATCTATCTCGTATCAAAGTTGCAGACTGCAGACTCTGTCACCTTCCAACTATGATTCAGATGACAAAAAAATGCCAAAGTGTGCGTTTGCGTTCAGTCTCAGTAGCAGTAGACTGCTGCCCGGCCCACTTCTCGTCATGAAGCCTGTGTGTGTTCACGTCCAGGTGTGTGTGTGTGTGTGTGTGTGTGTGTGTGTCAGTGTGTGAGTGAAAGACCTGCTCTCTCCATCCGAGGAAATGGAGCCTGGCTGCTGACACAGCGCTGAGTAGCTAAAGCGTGTGTGTGTGTGTGTGTATGTGTGTGTGTGTGTCACTATTGGGCAGCGTCTTTGCTCTGGCAGTGTGTGTGTGTGTGTTTGTGTAGCGTTAATGTCGCTCCGTGTCAGTGTGTGTGTCACGGAGAATCCCAAGTGCTGGAACTGGTGTGTGTGCTGGTGGGAGCGATGGAGACTGTTATCCGTGTCACATCCCGTTAGACGACATCTGCATGTGTGTGTGTGTGTGTGTCGTTTTGTGTGTGTGTGTGTGTGTGTGTGTGTGTTTTTGTGCGAGAGCGCTGAAGTAAGAGGAAGCTGTCACCGCCAGCCGTCGCACATTCACTCAAACGCCAGCCCAAAAGCAGCCTCTGTCAGCAGAAAGGAGACACAACCACACACTCTGCAGAGGTTACGGAAAAATAGTATAAATGCACAAATGGGCGCAAGTGACTGACACGGTGGCAAATGAAATTTATTCCCAAGACAACTGTGTGTGTTTATGTGTGTGTGTGTGTCCGTCTAGACGCTGCAGGCTTCTTCTTGTACAATCTGATAGACAGCATGTCGGAGAAGCAGCTGAAGGCACAGGAAAAGAATCTGCGGAGTTTCTTCAAGCAGCTACACACTCAGGTTACTGAACACACACACACACACACACCTCACATCCCTACACTAACATACACCACATACCCTGTTCATTCATAACCTTCCCGCTTTAAAGGAGCTTACACTCTCTGATCTGAGATGATTTGCAGTGTGTAATCGGACTCGGATTATTCACAGTTTACACACACACACACACACACGCTCGCTGCAGAGTGCGATTACATGACCTCCATACTGTGCTCCATTTCTGAAGGTTTGAGTTGGGACGTCCAGACATGTTGTGGAAGATTAAATCTTGTTGAACACTTTGAGGTTAAGTGTCACGTCTTGACCGGCCGCTTTGAGATCAGCGAAACAGTTTAGCGGAGCAATGTGGAACCTTTTAAATCAGCATTTAAGACATTTCAGATACCGGCGTCTGTAGGAAACCTCCTCACATTAAACAGTCGTGATGCTCTGGAAGCTTGCAGCACAGAGTTGCCAAAATGAACAAATGACATTTTTGTAGTAGTCTAAAAGATCACAAAGGTGTCGATCAGTAACACTCAATAGATTAGTTCATGATGAAGGATGCTTTATTTCCCTGAGTCTACTGAGCTTCACAGTCACTTAAGAGTTAACCTCAAGACTGATGTTTTCATTATTCGTTAACCGTCTGAACCCCGAGTGGGTTCTGGACACTTTCTGCTTCTGTTCATTTTTACTCAAACAAAGTCCAGCACCTCTTTGGAAACAACACAACCATGATGGTGCCATAAATAACATCCTGAAAAGAAGAAAAAAAAACAAAAGTTGTGTTTCTTTGATTATTTACTTTACACAAAATCTGAAAAACTGTTTTCCTTTCCTCCGTCGAGGTGTCACTAAAAAGAAAGAAATAGTGACTTCATTTTTTAATAGTAATTTCACTACTTTTGCTGTATTTTACTATTTTTGTTTCCATATTTCTTATCTGCAGCCTGCAGTTTAGCCGAAAAGTCACAGAACTTTTTCACGTGACTGCAGCTGAGTCGGTCATAGTATCACGGTTGTTCCAAGGAGTGCAGATTTTTTTGTTTTTGGCAGAATCTGGTTTTGGTAAACAGTTTATTTTTGCCATGTTTTTTAGATGAGACGTGTAGACTAAAGAGATTTTGATGAAATATCTCAATTTAAGGCTGAGATTTGGTTTAGTTTCCTGACTCAAAGACGAGACACATGAGCAGTTTGAGGACTGTAGGAAAGTTTAGACTGTCCCTCTTGTTTTTACAGTTTCTGGCTCTGGTAATTGGTGTAACTTTGGCAATGTTGTAAAGACAATATACCTTTAAAAACCCACCGGTGGATTTTGGAGTTCAGAGGGTCAATTTGTGATATCCTAATTTTTGATTTAAAAATTGTTTCGGTTGAAAAAATGTCAGGAAATAGTCAGATTTTGCTAAACCCTGTCTAAACCCTAAAGACGATGACTTTCGAATAACATTAAACAGACAACCAGCTCACCACAGACTAGTTACAGATTCATTTTTGACACTTGACCACACGTAGTTCACAACTTAACAAGGAGTCACGAATCAACAACATAAATCTGAAACCGTTTACATGCTGATTGAAGTGTACCTCTTTGCTGGTCATTTATCAGTTGCTTAGTTGAAATTAAAGTATTTATAAACTTTATGTTCACAGTTTTCAAATGTAAAACCTTCACTGAGATTAATTGTTCTGAACCCAGTTAAGATTGTTCAGCTACTGTTCAAACTTTGCATTTGACCGTTGTAACAAACACAATTCAACAGGTTTCGGTTCCTCGTCGTCACATTTATCTGACATTTGTTTTCCTCCTCCTATGTCTGTGCAGAATATTACCATTTCCCAGAACATCTACAGAGGCATTAAGAACCTCCTGGAGCTGTACAACACCCCCGAGCTCCTCAAGGTACACGGCCTGACCTTCAGTCTATAGTTCACATTTACTTTTTGTCATATAATTTTCAGGTCGCTGAGAGTCATCCTGGAATAGAATCAGTAAAGTCGCTAACCTCGTGACTAAACGAGGGTGTCTTTGCCCTGCGTATGCTTTCTGTACTGTTATTATAGTTGCTCTAATGGTGTCGCCTCACAGCAGTAGGTATTAAATGTCAGATGTTAACTGTTTGTGTGTGTGTGTGTGTGTGTGTCAGAATGTGAATGCTTTGAAAAGATCCGAGGAGAGAACGTCCATCTCCCCTGCTGTAGAGCTTCGTGAAGCCACTGTAAGTACGATGGTGTGACGAACGCGTTCAAAATAATTTACCTGCTACCTTTCATTGGTTTGTGAGAACACGTTTCTCCTCCTCTGCATGTTTAGAATACAGCTCTTCTGAGGAGATGAGTGTGCACGCATGATCTGTATTATGTGTGTACTATGATGTAAACACGAGGTTGCGTATCGATGTGTTCACCGCCGCTCTGTCTCCATCAGGACAACGGGGCTATGGTGTTGGTACTGGAGAACAGATTAGCTGAACTGAAAGCAGAGAAAAAGCCAGTGAGCCCTACTCTCAAACAAGCCATCAACGCTCTGTGTGCTGAGGAGGTAGGATTCGTTTGCATCTCATAACGCTGTCTTTTTCTGTTCCTTGAAATTAGTTGCGTTTTTCTGTGTGTGTGTGTGTGTGTGTGTGTGTGTTATTTTTCTGAGAGTTCTGTTGTTTGATCAGAACCTGCAGCGTGCCCTTAAGCTGAAGCAGCAGTACGAAGAGGACATGACACCCAGCATCTACGCCCTACTCATCAACCTGTGCTGTCGCCTCAAAAATGCAGACGAGGCGCTCAACCTGAAGAGGGAATTGTGAGCGGAGCGCACACACAAATACTCTACACACACACACACACACACACAAGGCTGCGCTGCGGCCAGTAGTAGGCCATTAAAGTTTAACTTGAGTGGTATTAGGGGAGACATTAATGCAGGGTCCAGCCGCTCTGTTGACTAGCTAAAACACAGGAAACTCTCCCCTCTTCCTCCCCTGTTTCCTTCTCTTCACTCACCACCTGGTTCCAGCATCACTGAGAACGCACAATAGATGAGTTGCATTACTGTAAGTGGAATACATTAATCGGGTTTGTCTGTCTCTGCTTTTAGGAACCGTAAGGACTCATCCGCCGCACTAGATGGCAGAAAGTACGTCACACTGGTCAGGACCCTCTCCCTAAATGGCAAAGTGGAGGGTGAGTCCCCCCCCCCGAGGGCTGCAGCTAATTAGCTTTCGTTTTCAGTTTCATTAGTGTCTTTAATTAACCCTCTGAACCCCAAAACCCGCCAGTGGGTTTGAAAGGCGTGTTGGCTTTAAACAAAATCACCAAAACTGCACCATTAACCAGAGCCAGAGACTGTGAAAACAGAAAGAATGATCAGATTTTCAGTTTTCGGACAGTCTTTGAAGTACTCGTCTGTGACTTGCAGTTCATTCTTTAAACCAACTTCTAAGCTTAAAATTGTGATATTTCTTAAAAATCTATTTATTCTACATGTCTCACTTAAGTATTTGCTAAAAAATAAACAGTTTGCTGTAACTTAATTCTATCAAAAACAAAAAATTCTGCGCTCGTCGGCACAATCACGCAGCAATTAGTGACTCGGCTGCATCCAGCATCACACATGACAAAAATTCAGGAGCTTTTCAGCTGAACTGCAGTCAGTGTTTTCAAAGAATAGATAGAAGAAAAGTATGTAAACAAATTAAATGTGCGTAGTTAAGCATCTACAGTATGTAGAGTCACTTTTCTTCTGTATTGGTAACTGCTGGAGGCACTTGGAAAATGTTTCATGTGTGTAAAATATATAATCCAAGAAATTCGACTTTTTTTCCCGTTTTTTTTTTTACGATTTCTCGCAGTCTGCATTTGTCTTACTGCACAGAAAACATTTTTGAGTTCTTTTTACTTTTGGCCATGATTGTGCCGTTTCCATTGCGGTCTTTATGAAAAATGAGCCCGCAGTGAGTAAAAATAAAACAGGAGTAACTGCTTGGAGTTGAGGTAAACTTTAAATTCCACACCTCAGCTTCTCAGAGCCGTCTTAACTTCCTCAAACTGCTTTTGTCCGACCAACTCTCCACAACAAAAGAAAGACACTGAATAGCGTTTTTTTTTGCCTAAACGATTATCAAAATTGGTTTTAATTTTGTGCCGACTGACCAGTTGATTAATTGAGTCGCCCCACCAGCACTTAGCTCCTCGCCGCCGCCGTCCTCCTCTGACGGCAGATCAGGCTTGAACCTAAAAACCGACGTGTGGTTGTGTGTGTCACCAACTCTGTCACAATCTGTCTCTCTCCCTCCCTCAAACCACATTAGCCGGCCATTTCCAGAATGCTACGGTGGGTTTCCTTCAGCCCATCGAAGACCCAATTACCATCAGTTTTGCCGCTCTGCTTTTTGCACTCAATGACAGGCAAAATGTTTCCCTTGTCTGTCCTCGCCTTTCCTCTCCTCCCCTTCGCGCTCGCTCTCCGTCTCCATCTCTGTCTCTCTATCTGACCCTCTCTCCCCCGCTCTGTCGCAAACCGTGTCATTCTCCTATTCTACCCCCCCAACGCACACACACACACACACACACACACACACACACACACACACACACACACACACACGTCAGTAAGAAATGAGAGAGGGGGAAAATTACAGGACTGTGTGTATTTTTCCAGAATTATTGAAATCCGCCTTGATGCTAATGGCAGATCATGTCCACCAAAGTGCTTGAGCATTTGTCACACACACACACACACACACACACACACGCAAATTTGCATGTGAATTCAAGCAAAAAGGCATTTGGTGGCACGGCGGACGGTGTGTCCATCTGTGTGTGTGTCGGGGTGTGTATAGGCAGCGCTAACGCATTTGCCATTAGCCAGAGTGTGCATATGGAGGGGACGCTTGTCAGCCACATTAGCACACATGGCTAACCTTGATGTTAGCCTGTCCCCACCCAGACGCTGGTCCGCCCGGCTCCCAGCACACACCAGGCCCAGATGAAGATCATGTCTCCTGGCATCTTGCTTTATTTCTCGCCCTCTCTAATGGCTTTGTTGTTTTTGCCCTTGGTTCAAAGCCTCCCATCTCGCCCTCGCCAGGCAACTTTGTTTGCACCTTACTTCCTCCTTTTGACTTGGTTCACGTCATCTTCCCGCCACCTTTTGTTCTCTGACGGTTCTTCATCATTAATTCCTGCACTTCTAATGCAGCAGATTTTGCTCTGCTGCTCCTCATTTACATCACGGCCCTTTAACCATCGTATCTTGTTAAACATCTTTCTTTTTTACCGTCCATCTCTTTTCTTGTGGGTTATTTTTATCTGGAAGATGAGATGAGAACAAAGTAAACCCACTTAACCCGCTTTCAGACAGGCAATCCTTTCTATTAATTTGGCAGCGTCATAAAATGTCGGCTTCATGAATGAATTATTACTTTTCCGTAGAAGTTGCATCGCCAGTATTACTGGGTCGGATTTACACGTTACCTTCAGCACAGAACAAGTCTGAACTGTGTACAGTCACATTAGTAGATAGGTGCACAGCTTTGTTGAGTAGTTTGCTCTATTGGTTACTTTAATGAAGTCACACTCTGTATATCGTTATGGAAACGAATGCACAATAATTAAACTGCAACTGGAAATATCCTGTTGTGAGACTTAATGATCTTTGTCATTTAAAAAAAGTAGTTTGAGAGTATTTTGACTTTAACAATGGATAAAAAAAGATGATGTAATGAAGATCAGGGCTTGATCTGAGCACAACTGCTATCTTACAAATGATTAAACTGCTTCCAAGCTGTGAGAAGTGATGAACACTTCTAGGTCCTGACTGATGCTGTTGCCTAGTTTGTTTTAGTCTTTATTGTTGTTTATTGTCGTGAACTGACCCTTTACGTACGATCAAACCTCATCATGGCTTCCTCTCGCTCCCGTTGATGGTCCTAATGATGCACATTCATGTAAAAGTGGCCGATGTCGGTCTGACAGAACGCCGTCACTTTAACAGATTGATGTTCTGTTCCGCATGAGAAGCACGACGGCTTTAACGTCCCGCTCCCCCAACGGTACTTAAAACAGTGAAAACAGTGGATCACAAAGAGGTTATATGTACCCATGAGTGAATAAATTATGACCTTACCGCTTCACCGACAGGATCGACCCTCGTGAAAAAACACAGCAAGCTCTATTTGTGCCCCTTTAAACTTAATAAATCCTTTCTTGCAGCCATCCAGATCAAAGATGACCAATATAATAACTAGACTCTCTCCAACTCTAAGGCCTGGTTGTACGCCCTCATGAACACACACTTGGACAGTTGTAGACTCCATGGTTGCGTTCCTATCATGCTACTTCCTAGTCTGCTCAGAGGATGCATCACATACATGTGCAGTAAATCGGGTATCGGGCTGTTGCTGTTGTAGCATCGTGTCACAAAAAGTTAAAGGACTTCCACACTGAGCCAGAGAAATTTAAGTCACTCTAGCTGACTCGTGTGTACTCGCAGATCCAGAAAGCAGAACACTTATGATCCGTCTTTAGGTTCGTCTTTGTAGAGACTCAGCTGCTATGTTCCTCTGCCAACGCCAGCAGGTGGAAAACTGTGGGTTAGTATTTTTTGTTACTCCACAGTTGGGGGCAAATTTTTACAAATTGCGTTAAATCCAGTGTTAATTGTTGGGAGGATATAAAAGGAAAAAGAAATGACAACATGTAGAGATGCTCGTTTGATCTCGCTGTGGCTTTAAATCTTTAAGAATGCAGGCTGATATAAATACGTTATTATTAGATCACCTCTTTGTGCGAGTCCATCCTTTAATCTATCGATCATGTGACCCGTCGAGGCCGTTGTACGTATGAACACTGTCATCAGGAGGCTGAACACCATCTTTACCTCGTTCTACCTTTTGCTTCTCTCCTTCCATTTTCTTAAATACACCTCTCCTCTATCAGCCAGCATCTCTTTGACCTGCCCTTGCCCCTCTTCCTCCATCTGTCCATCCTCCTACTTTGGTAAACACAACTTGTTCTGGCTTTAGATGGTCCTGGACTCGTCATTGGTGCTGTGCATGAGCGTGTGTGTGTGTGCCTGCGCTTTGGGAAAGAGACATCACTAGCAGTCAAGTCATGGAACATTAGATGAACCATTGGGCTGTGTGATGTTTGTTTACCTGGCCTGTCTGCCTCCCCCATCTCTTGATGTGTGTGTGTGGTCTGGCTCGCTGTGCTGGCCATGATGCTCGGCTGAGCTGATGGATATGCATACTGGCTAAACGGACGGATAAAGGGGGAGATGGAGGGAGAACACCGTGGGGGAGGTTTGGACGTTGGACGGAGGGATGTTAGCTAGTGTAGCTCCATTTGGGCAGATCAGCTCCAAGCCATTGGTCTCGGTGATTAGCGGGTCTGTCAGATCGTGACGGAGAGAGTTACGGGTAGGAGGAAGGAGGGAAGCGTGGAGAGAAGCACAGAGCCGGAGAGCGAGAATATCTCACATCTGAGCTGATAAACAGAACAGACTTGACAACAGGTCAGGTCATTACGGGGGAATTGTTTAATGCTGATACCAGCATCTGTGATCAGCTTGTTTACCTGGAACACCTTACAAGACGCTGGGGTTTGTTGTTTCACCGATGCTTTGCTCTCTGCTCCCACTCATTCCTGGATAATAAAAAAAACTCTGTCTTGCAGAGACAGAGTTTTAAAAATTAATTTTCACCTCAGTTTTGGTCCTTTTTTCCCCCCTAGTTATCTTTGATCAGCCTCGTGGCATCACTCCAGCTTGGAGTGCATGGGAGTGTCTGATTTTTTTTTATTTTTTTATTTTTTGTCCTGACCAAACTACTTCCACAGCTACTAGATGGATTGCCTGGAAATTTTGTGCAGATCTTTGCAGTTTCCAGATGTTGAATCCTAATGAATCCGATGATTGCCTAACTTCTTATGCCAACTTTATGCGACATTTGTACATTTTAACTCGGTTTCATACAAGTGCAGGAGGTCTTTTCTGAGAATTTAGGACAACACACAGATCTTTGTGGATGTCAAAAGCACAAATTATTTATTTATTTTTATTTATTATATCCTTTTACTTTAATTAATTAATTTTTTTACTGGTATTGAAAATTTGTAGTCCATTAATCAAACTTATATAAAACTTTTCAAGCAAATCAAAATCACCTCAAAGTGCCTCAAACACAGGACAAAATATAGGATGCCTAAAAATAGATTAAAATCTAAAATAAAATAAGAGATAAAATAAATCTCTAAATTAAAAACGGACTAAGGCACGACAAAACTAAATAAGGCAAAATACAAGATTAGCCGTTAAGTTAGTAAAAGAGAAATAAAAGAGAATACAAGCAATTGAAATATCAATAAAATCTGAAAATACATCAATCATAGCAAAAACACTAAAATGCCGGTAAGATAAGGCAGGATAGCATAAATAATATTGCTGATAAGAAATAAGTCAATCACACAGAGAATCAGCATTAATTATAGGATTGAGCTGTTTTTTATGAAGCTTTAACTCAGTAACAGAGCTGGTTATTTCTTAATCCTGATTTTTTTTTCTAACACTGACACGAGTCTGGATGCAGCTGGTTTTGGGACCATAGACTGAATGTATCTTATCGTTTTTTATTTCCTCTATGGAAGCTGATACCTACATCCTCTGACACCACAGTTCTTATCTGTCTGTATTGAAGTAAGACTCTCCAAACACTGAGAATTTATCCTCTCTGTCTGAGCCAGCAGGCTGCTTCAGTAGGTTAAACTGAGCTTTCACTACTTCACACTGCAGGGTGTCTCCAGCAAACACACTCTGGGCCTGACAGTAAAAGTCATCCACAAATTCTGTTTTTTTTTTGCAACCACATGGTCAGTTTCTGTTGATAGATAAGTTTATAGGACTGTTTGGGAACTGAGTTACAGCGGCTTCACGGCAGAGGGAAACGGGAGCTGTCGCCTTGCATCCCTTCGCTTATTGTTCCTACGGCCACGATGATAACAGCGCAACAGACTTTAAAGTTTGCCCCTTTTGTCATGTCAAGCCCTCGTCCGGCTACCCGAACCCACGCCTCTGACAAGCTTCGCCCTCCTCTTATTGTCCTCCCTTTAACTCCCTCCCCTGTTTAGCGGCGTCTCCTCCGTTGCTAGTCACCCCTACTCCACCCGTCCTTCCCTCTATTTTCCCCCGTCCCATTAAGTCTGTGACAGCCTTTGGTTCCCATCGCCATAACAACTGGCACAGGGAGGTGGAGAGATGGAGAGACAGACTGAAATTAGGATGCCAAAGCACTCACCAGTGGCCCCGTTTCTCAGCCCACAAGTGTGTGTGTGTTGCTGATGAATGTGTGTTCCCAGTAGAAAGTGACATTCCTGTCGGAGGGGTTTTGTTGTATTAACAGCTGTGTAGGTGTGGCTATCATTACACCCACATTTGTTCACTTCAAGTTTCTCTGCTTTTATGTCTGCTCAAAATTTTCACCAAATAAAAGGAGCCAAGGGTATTTGCTGAGCGATTTTTAAGCAGCCGGAAGCTTAATGCAGATTATTCAAATGTATTCTCTGCATCCTTCCATCTCCACCCGTCTTCTTGGTCATGCAGTATAGATTAGTATCTGTGGTGGAGAGCGGCTGTATCGCTGTCAGCCCATTAGCAGCTGTCTAAATAGACTGTAAACGCATCTTAATTACTTTACCCTGATACACCACATATACACACACATAGCACACTCCCTTTTCAACATTTAGCCCCTAGCGTTGGCCAGATGGGCGCGTGGCCCAGTAAAAAGCCCTCCATTACCGGCTGGACTTGACCAAACTGATCCACCCCTCAGCCCGCTTACCGAGGTCTCACCAGGGCCACGGCAGGCCCTTGTCGCCACATACCTATAATTTAGCCCCCCAAGTGCTTTCCACATGGCCACGGCAAAAAGCTGGCCTCCATTGTAGGGGTCCGGTAATTGTAGTCTCGTTTAGAAAACCGCAAGTAGCAATTAGCACAGAGTTGGCATTATACGGGGTTGGATTTGCATCCCCGCTGGGTGCAAAATGCTGTTTTAATATGGGTTTGTTTTCCCCACATGGAATTAGCTAAAGGGGCCTTTTATCATATTCACACACCCTACTCTTCTTCCAGCCAAGCTCTGCCCACCTCTCGCTTCCTCTCTCCTCTCTGCATTATCTCCCTTTCTCCTTTTCTTTTGTTCTTTATATTCGCCCGTGTTCTCCTTACTTCTAAACCGCACTCGCGTCACTTCTGTTGACGGAAGGTCTCACCTCGTCGAAGCGTCTGAGAGTTGTAGTAACAAGCGATGTTTTCTTCACACGGCAATTTCTGTCTTTTCTCTCCCTCGCAGAGGCTGTGGACATCCTGAAGGAGATGAAAGAGAAGGACGTGGTGATGAAGGACCCTAACATCACCGGGCTTTTCCACACGTTCTGTGCCGTAGCGGACACGGGCGACGTCGACGCCGTCCAGCGGCTGCAGGACACCGCCTTCACCCTCGGCCTGATCAAGCCCAGCGCCAATCTCTGCTCACCTGCCATTAGCGCGTACCTGAAACGGTAAAACAACCTGCAACTGCTTTACAAATCACAAAACACCGATCACCAAATAACAAAAAGTGGCTTCGGTTGGATTTAAAACACGTTACGTTCCATTTTTTTTATGGCTGAAGTTGTCCACGAACCAGCCAACAAGCTCACTTTTGTTTTCAGATTCGTGTCTTCATCTGCCAAAGCCTGTTGCCAGGTGTGTGTATGTATGTGTGTCTCAATGAGTCACTCATCCCTCCCTATGATCATAGCTGAGGTTATATTCTGGGTCAGCGATTCAGACAGAGAGAGGATGTGGAAATTGCTCATTTATGTCAGTGTGTGTTTGTGTGCCGCGTCAGAGCCAGGTTTTGTTTGTTTGAGGATTCGCCAGCTGCAACCTCTCCCATGAGCCCCCACCCCTGATCTCCTGAAACACCCACTGCTATCCTCCGAGCTTTAAGTGTGTGTTTGTGGTGAGAGATGGCCATCGATGCTTCTTCCCATAATGCGAGTATGCAAATGAACGTCGGTAAACATTGGCTGTGGGGTCAGTGGTATTGCCCCACCCCTCGACTCTATTCAGCATGTGTGTGTCATTCAGTGTATGTGTGTATATTCTATTTGTCAGAGCGGCTTTTAAGTAGATCAGCTCATTAGCATGTTAATTATGTACAGAGCACTAATTGCTGGATTTACCATAGACACGCAGTGCACCGTTAGGGGCCCGTCAACACACACACACACACACACACACACGCCCTGCACATGCTTTCGTACACCTCTAGTGTACATGCTGCAGTCGAGGTAGACACACACACACACACACACTGGTGCTCCCCTGCTGCTGTTTGTGTTGCTGTAAGTCTGGTCTCTGGCACAAACAGAGTTTCCAGGTTCACTCGTTAATCACTGCCTCTGTGAGATTAGCAGGCTAATTTACTCCTGGGTCATCAACAGCAGCCAAAACACAAACGCACACAGCAGCTTACCGCAGCCACCGCTCACAAATCAAGTGCCAGTTGTACTTCCTCCAAATGATACCGCGGTGAACACACACTAATGAACACGAGGGAACAAGATAGCTGCTGGTATTCGAACATCACCTGTCACGCGTTTGTTAGCGGTACGTTTGTGTGCTTTTAGCTGGCTGGTTGTCAAGAGTCGGTCAACAAACCTAATGTCCAGATAAAGTTTGTTTGACAGAGTTGTCTGCTTTTTTTTTGTCATGTCGGGTAAATTGTTTGTTTGGCTTCTTTACATGACAAACAGCAGCAGCACAGTCTCTCTTTTAGTTGTTTCTTTAACTTATATTGTAGCAGATCCTGTCCTGCAAGTGTGAAGTAATGAATCAGTGTCTGCTTTTAATATGCTTGAAAATAACTACAAGAATAACAGGTTAAGGATTAAGATTTCTGTCAGGACGTCTAGCATTGTACTACAACAGCTCTGCCCCTTTATCGGATGGAATTAATTATGATCAAGGCGCTACAGCTGATCATCAGTGTGCTTTATTTAAGCCCCTTCCAGACATGGACAAGCCCCTTTAAGACATTTGAATGCATCAGAGACGACTGCATGTCCTCGCGTTAACAGACAGACATGCACAAGCGACATATTTGGAGTCGTGTGAAGTGATTTGGAGAATTTTAGGACATCCGATTTTTCTGATTTTAGGAAAACGGAGCACAAAAGCCAGTTTGTAGAGAAAATCACAAAATGCTTTTCTTCATTCTGCTTTGAAATTTTACATCTCTTACAGATGAAATGCCTACAGAATCAAAAAAATGTCACAGTGATTTCTGCAGCTCAGATTAATGAGTCACATCAATAATGAAGCTAATCTACAACATTAACTGGAGCTGATTTTTAGTTTGCTGCTTCCAGCTGGTTGCAGGAGTCTTTAACAAATACCTGCAGCATCAGACCACGAGTGAGAGAGTTGCACACGTTTACAGCTGTGAAAATTGCTTACAATTGTAAATTGTCCCCCACACGAAGACAGGATTGGTCAGAATGTAACGGTAAATGGTACTGTGCATTAGACAGGTCAGCTTTTGTACGCCAAGTCAAAATTTCTAAGCTGCTGGTAAGTTATTTGTTACACAACAGATTTAGCCTTTTATCAGTACTTTGTTACGCTTTATAACGCTTGTTGTACATCCAGTCAGTATTGTTCACACTGTGGCCTCTCCATCACTATCTGGGTCATGTATGAATGAAGCTGTGAGGAAAATTATCATAAAAGTGACCTACATCTGATTAACAGAATGAAGCCAGGAATGTAAAGAATGGCATGTCTGAAAAAGGTTGCGAGTTTGATCAGGAAACCCTTTTTGAAAATATACGACTAAATTAGCCTCCTCTGAAGGTGTGACATGTTTGGGATTGTAAGGCAGACTGAGGGTGTCGCTCCAGCAGCGGTTCATCCAGGCTCCAGGGCAGCTTGGAGAACAGCGACACTTGACTTTTGCACTCCAGCTGAATCTGTCTCCTCGCTCTCTTCTCTCTACGTCCTTTATCTTCCTCGGTTCGTCTCCACCTCTTCATTCCGTCAGTCAGCGGACAGACAGACAGTCGGGAGGAGGAGGGATGGAGAGAAGCGATAAAAGAGGACAAAGCAGGCATCACTCCCGCCTGCACCCATCTCATCGCTGCGTCAGCGCTAATGACTTAATGAACACTTCTCCGCCAGATTAGCCCTTGACAGCCCATCATACGCGCCGCCCCGTTAGCCTTCATGCCCGTCCGCTCAGCATTGTGTGTGCTAACCTGTTTCTGCGCTAGCTGGCAGCTAGCTCAGATTGCCACATCCTCATAGAAGTGATTAGCGACAGTAAATGCTAATGAGTCCAACAAAGTGAAGAGCTGGCAGGACATGTATGATAAGACAGCATCCGTGATGATGGAATAGGAGGAGGAGGAGGGTCGAGAGCTGAAAAGTGATGAGTGGCTCAGAGGCAAAATGCCTCATTCACTCCCACTCCTTAGGCCTAAAAGAAAAATGAAAACCCTGAGTAGATAAAGGAAAGGAGCCTGAGAGGAGAGTCAGATCCAAAGATTAATTCAGATAAAGAGATGTTGAGAGACTCGTGTTTGTTAACTTAAACTCAACACATATCTGTTAAGTATTCAGCTTATGATCTTATTTGGTATAATAGCGTCTTTATGCAGCGTTAAAGATGTTACTCATGGTGACAAACTCACTGAGGAGCATCACAAAATGCCTCTTCTTAGCTCATTGTTGTAATTTTCTACTCTCATCAACCTTGTTTTCTACAATAGAAGGCAATCGGTTTCAGCTAAAAAGCTCCAATAAACCATCTGAACATTACACGCTGAGCATCTACTGGCAGATGAGCAAAGTTAGAAAACAAACAAAAGCAAAAAGATGGAAATTATCCTCAGCAGATGGAACAGAGAGTGAATATTAAAGGTGCAATATGTGGGAATTTTAACAAATGGCATTAATATAGCAGCAAATAACTACGCTCTATGCAAAGACATAGTTCAATAATCGTGTCCTTTGCAGGAAATGAAGTTACACTTCCTGTTTGTGTTATATTCAATAACAGCTGGTCTGACCAAGTGTGCACGTTGGTGGTGCATCTAAGTCCCTCACTCTGAAACTGTTGGCAGGCCCACGTTTAGTCGGTAACCTAAACATCCAAAGTATTTTGTTCATGTTCTCTCCCTAATTTATCCGTACTGGTTCTATTTGAGCTCAGTGTGAGAACCTTTACGTTTTCCTCTGTTCACATGGTTTTCTGCTCCATTCTTTAAGTGTCTGTTTTTACACATGGCACTGGCGCCTCAGGAAATGTTTTACAGGAGTGAAACTATGAGACTTAAGAAACTGCATGATTTAGTTTCTTATTTTACTGTTAATGTTGCTGGATATCTGACGTGCACAGACGTAGAGTACCACGTGTTGGTTGTTTTTCAAAATAGTCCAGCAAGAGAGATTCTCCAAAGTATTTAAGGGGGGAAATGTTCACCCATAAGCAAGAAGTTAATCTTTCTTTATGATTTTAACACAGCAAATTCTGTCCATGTGTGATGACAATGTGTTAAACTACAGTCAGCTATGGTTTATTACATACATTATTATTGTTACTTGGCTATCTGTTGACTTCAGGGGTGACCAAAGAGCCCCGACCCCCCTTTGGAGGCACCACTGACACACTGGTCCACTCTGGATCGACTGACAACTGAAAGATAACGTTACTACAACGCATTTTGCAGTGCTCGTGTGGGCTGATAGTTGTGGCTGGATTATGTTTTTGTTCGCTCTCGTGTGCACAACCTCCGTAAAGGAAGTGGTCTGTCTCTCAGATGTTGGTGATCTTCCAGTGTCAGTGTGGATGTTGTTGGTGTGGCACAGAGAACCTTTAAGCACTTTAAACTAAATGCTAATTGCATAGTTGCTGTGCATCTGCTGGGTGTGTAAGCGACTGCAGAGCAACTGCTAGCGGACGTGTTTGCCATATCAACTTTATGTTTGACTGCCCCTCTGTGGCCAAAATAATGATCAAAATTAATGCAACTTTTTAAGACCCGCACACACAAAACACACACACACACACACACACACACACAGACGTTCATCTGTGTGGGGCACGGACATTATTAGTAATAAGTAAGTGCCATTCTTGAACACATGTAACAGCAGGCTAGTGGTGTCATGATCACAGTGTCATTTGCGTTTCTAGACACAGACACCTCGCTCTCCCTCACGCGAGGACAGTGTCTTGATAACAGGCCTGCCCATCTCCTCCAACAAAAGAGTGGGACGGAGAGGGAGAAAAAGAGGAGGAGGAGGAGGAGGGGGGGAGGAAGTGAGATGAGGCAAAATGAGCTTCCTTGTCTAATCCTTCAGGTTTCCACCGAGCAAAGCGCTCGTTATTTTTTCAGGGCTTAATTGGCTGGAAAGTGGCTGACATGCAAAGTTGGGGACATTAACAGGGCTGCGCGCCGCAGTAAATGGCAACGCAAAGTGACAGTTAAATTGTACCTAGGGGAAATTATCCATCTTTCGACATCTTTAGCTCTTTTTTTTTGGGGCGGATTGGCGGACGGAGGGAGGGGGAGAGGGGAGGAAGGCAGAGGGGGTGTAATTGCAACGCCAGGCCCTTTTTTTTTTTTTTTTTTTTTTTTTTTTTTTTTATTTCTTTTTTTTTTTTTTTTTATATTCATTACCTATGAGCCCAGATTTGACTCGTTTTGCTTAATAGCCTAAATAAAATCTGCCAAATATGATTTTGCCAAGAGTGATTTTTTTTTTTTTTTTTTTTAAAGATGTCTCATTAGGAAGGAGGGATTATAAGTAGGTGTGGAGGAGCTCGATAAACGAGGTGGACAGATAGCAGGGATGATGAAATAAATGTGGAGAAGGAGTTTTGAAACAAGCGCAGAAAGCCACAACAGTTAAACTAATTGTATACGGATAAGATGTATTGTGTTATAAACGGCATCCTGCACTTATTTTTCCAGGCTTGCATCATTTTGGAGCAAATTGTACGCCCATGTGTGTGTCCTCCCCTCCCTCCTCGGTCTCTTCTGTCTCCACGCTCTTTCTCTCATTTTCAAAAATCTCTTAGTCTCTCTTCTGTGCTGTTCAATCAGACTGTTGTGCAGCTGAACAGCCTCTTGACTGGCGCTGCTGAATAATGTTGTCCCTCTTCATTTCAATTAGCGGACCTCTTTGCCTTCCAACCCTAATCACTCCATTCCTCCTCCCTGCATCACTCCTGCCTCACAGGAGCCGAACTCAAGGTCATATCATTTGCTGTTTGGTGTTTTGGGGTTTTTTTTGTTGTTGTTGTTTATTCTTTTCCCTTTTCCTCCCTCAAGTTGTTGGTCTTTTTTTTGGGGCGTGTTCCGCATATCCGCTTGTCTAATTGATTAGAGGAGAAAACACTTGAGAAATTACACCTGTTCACTCTCAATCTGTCTCCCGAACGCTCCCGTCTCTTTCTCACTCACTCACTCTGCCCCCTGCCTCCCCCACGGTTGCCCTATCTGCTTTGACCTCTGTGTGATTGACATGGTAATTACCCAATCAACAGATTGATGGCAGCGCTGTCACAATAGAGGGGATTGAAGTGGTCTCTCCCACTCCCCCTTCTCTTAGTTTCTCGCTCTCCTGCTTCCTTTGCCCATCTCTTTTCCTCTACTTCTCTCGTTATCACTCCATCAGGCGCACTCATCCTGCCTCTGCTTTTGTTTGTTGCGAGGGAGGGGGGGAAACGGGAGGATGGACCGAGCAAGAAAAGGATGACATGAGACGAAGAGAGCGAGCTGTTGGGAAAAGAGGAGGAGGGGGGGGTCTCTAATGTTGTTGCCATATTTCTGCTAAATTGCCCAGCTGGGGGGAGAGGTCATCGGAGGGGTGTGAGAGCTGACAGCATGAAATCAGAAAGAAGATGGCGAGGAGGAGAAGAAGTAAGAAGAAGGGAGAAGATGAGGAGAAAAGGGAAATGAGAGAATCGTAAATGAGAGGAGGTTAAAGCAGGGTTGGAGAGGACAAAAGAGGGAGAGAGCAGGAGAAGTTGGAGGGCACGAGCGGAGCTGAGCAGAGAGGCTAAAGATCAGCCGAGTCCTTTTATCTGTTGCATTGCTTCCCCTCTAAAAGCCTGTCCAGAGAGACATTAGCCCCTCGCCGACAGGTGTTTGAGAGCGCACCTGATTGTGTGAGAATGATGTATTGGGGCCAAAAGGCTTCATCACCCACAGTTGTGCTGTCATGAATTCAAAGGCCTGTATTGTTGAGGTGGGTCATAGTGCTTGAATAGGAGGTCACAGGGTTAACACCCCATGATACACTCTATTCTCTACCGACACAATCCTGTACATGACTGATTGGACAGACCTGGCATCTAACTCTCTGTGTGTGTGTGTGTGTGTGTGTGTGTGTTTGTGTGTGTGTGTTTGTCTGCAGTGACGACTTGGCCGGAGCTCTCGAAGCGGTGCAGCAGTGCTACAAGCGTTACAAGCACCTGCCTCGCATGCACGACATCCTTGTTGGGCTGGTGGAGATAGGAGACACCGAATCACTGCAGAAAGGTGACGTATTTATCTAAGAAACAATTACACACTGTCAGCTTTTTTTCTGACCATCAGTCTTAATCATTCATATTTCAACACTAACTGACAAATTTCATCACTTTAAAAGACGCATGAAACATGAGATTTGCTGAATTTCTCTGGTATTTTCTGACAGGATGTCTTTAGATTTACAGCTTTCCCAATTTAACGACACGTGTCACAAGGGTTTTTTGTTAATCTTACAACATTTTAAAGACTAAACTCTTTATCAGAAATATTTCAGACGTTAACTCTCTGAGCTACAAGCACTTTTGAGGCATTTTCTGCTCCTTTTATATTTTTTTCCTCTGTGTGGGCACTTTTTTTTTTTTTTTACTGCAGTATAAAGTCCTGCACCTTTATAACGTTATCTTTGAAGAAGAGCTTAATTAGACTAAGAATAGAGCCGGTACAGTATGTTGCCTCAGGTGCCAGATCGTATCTAAATACCCCAGAAGTCCAGCTGTTTTCCATCTTCGTCACCAGCAACCGGGACATTTGTCCAAACTTGTCTTGCTTTGCTTTTATAATGTGAAAATCCACTCCTTAATCTTATTATTATTTTTTTTACTCTATCCTTCTGTTTACAGTAAATCCCATGACCCACAGTTTATTTGTTAACCGAAGTTAAAACCACTTGCACCCACAAGATTTGCATTTGATTCTGCAGAAAATAGAGAATCCCAATGCAGTCCTCTACCCGAGAGTCAAGATTTAAATTTTTTAAAAAAAGGCACGAACATCGAAATCCATTACAGGCTTGTAACGTCCAAATGGCCTCATTAGAGTTCAGAATAGCGCTGCACTCCGTCACTCCTTCTCACAGCTATATTCTAATTTTTCCCCCACTCCAGCTCAGCTTGATCCAACTTTGCTTCTCCTGATTGACTCTAACCTTTCATCACTCATTTGTGTGTGCGCCCAAAGTGCCCATTCAGTGTTTGCATTAAACACACATCTAACAAGTGCCAGCAATTCCAAGAGTGCACAAGAGGAGCAGAGAGTGAGAAAGGTTCAGACCAGGGTCGCGGTGAAGCACGTCAGCCAATCACATGCAGAACAGCCTCCCTGTACGTCGACAGCGGTGCGGTGAAAAGGTCAAGTTCAATGTGCCGCGGGGGCAAGTGGGTCTGGAGTGCGTAAAGGTTGAATCTGTGCAGCAGAGCACCTCTCCACCTCCTTCCCCTCCCCTCCCCTCCGTTCGCTTTCATTCCACCACACCCCAAAAGGTGACAAACCCTCGGAGTCAGTCGCTGCAACCTCTAAAACAAGGTGACTGTTACGATTGTCTGACAGAGCAAGCAAACCAGCGAATCTTAGAGATAACAAATTATTGGGCCTCCCACTCCACCGTATAAAACAGAAGAGGGATGACTTGTGACATAAACCTTGAGTCACACTCAACCTGGCGGCACTGTGAGTACGTGCTGAGTGCCGCAGCCTGCTGCACCACGGCTCGCTCCTGTGGACCCACGCTGCTGCAGAGCAGGGATAGTCTAAAAATTCACCTTAAAATACACCTTCTGAAATAAAAACAGAAATGTACTCAAACCACAAACTTCCAGCAGACTGACCTTCAGTCGTCCAAAATGCACTAAAAGCATGACACGGCTTGTCAAAAGATCTTCACTCACATTTCTGACCTTGGTTTGAGTTCAAGCATCAACAGAAAAATAAAACGCGGGGCTTTGTGAGGTTCTGGCAGCCATAGCAACCACTGAGCTATTTTCAAATAAGAAGAGAGCATGAAACATGCTTTTAACCTGCAAATGTCTCCAGGAACCCGAGAATTAAATGGTGCTATAATGAGCTGACCTGGTTCAGTCTTCAACCTCAGATCTGGTAAAATTAGGGTACGCACGTAAACACAAATAAATCTAGTCGTCTGCAAAACTTGTCCACATTCAATCTAGACCACGAATGAATTTCTGAGTGATTACAGTCCAAAAAGCACCACATTGTTCTTTCATTTGACTTCAAATGAGAGCAAGTGAAAAGAGAGGGATTATTCTTTCGTCCTGTGCTTTGCTGAATGTGCAGGTCCACTTGGATAACTGAAAGTTTGCAGTGTGTGAGTGTACGTGTGAGTGTGGTACCTGTCCTGAAGCTGCTGGACAGAGATAGTACGTAACGCTGAGCAGAGCGCTTTAGCAAGTTTACCAGGAGAGCTTAGGCTTTCATGCGGGACTTGTGTGTGTTTGTTGCAGAGCAGACTTGATACGACTGCTTTGTGCCTGAGACATTGTGCCAAATAATGGAATCAGAAGGAAGTGATGAAGTGTGTGGTGTGTTTGTTTACCTTGCAGGCGTTTTTATTCATGACCTTTCTCTGCTCTGTTTCCCCGCCTGTCTGTCTTTCTCTTCAGCCATGGACTTTATGAGTCACGAGCGAGGAGAGATGATTATGCTGTACGATCTGTTCTTTGCATTCCTGCAGGCCGGCCGCTATCGTGAGGCTCGTAAGATCATGGAGGTAAGCACACACACACACGTATATATATATAAATATATGTGTACTCACAAAAGAGCTATTATAAGAGCCAGGTTGGCGTGTCTGATACTGCTTCTTCCTGGAACAAATGCATCCTACTTCTCAGAAAGTACCTTGGGTGAAGGAGCTTGTTTATTAGACAACACTGGGTTTGAATAGATAGTTCTAGTGTGGAGTTATTTTCCCATCTTTAATCGACAGTGTGGTCTTTCAGTTTGAGAGTTTTTATTTCCCAATTTCACGTTCAGATTTTGTCATGCTTTGCCGCAAAAACCATGCTCCCTCTCTCACAAATCAGCCCTGCTCGAGTGCAAATCGGCTCAGAAGTGTTTGTCTCGGGGCACCGCTGTAGCTCACCTGGTTGAGCTGGCGTCCCATGTGCAGGGCTACAGTCCCCAATGTGGAGGTCATGAGTTCGAATCCCGCTCATGGTCCTTTCCCACACATCCTCCCCACATTCTTCTCCCCCACTTCCCTGTCTCTCTTTCACTGCACGATTGAATAAAGGCACAAAGGCCAAAAAAATAACTGTAATCAGATACACTGCTGCTTGCACAAGGGTCACTTCATCTCAAATCAGATCAGATTTTTAGAACAATCTCTGCTCAACCGTCTCTGATTTGCTCGAAATTTTAATAGCAGAAAATATGGATATATATATATATATAAAGATATATTAAGGAAAGTTTTGCTTAATATATCAAATACTTTCAGAACTATATCTATTTTTTAAATTGCCTGTCGACACACTATTAGCACATCTGTCTTCGGGTCTGTTTGAAACAACCCTTTCAAAAATCCCCAACCAACAAACAGCCCACTATGACGGTGACCAATGAAATCATCTCTGCCTCCTCGTAGGTGCGTTTGCTTTTTTTTTTTACATCTTACAGCATCCCTAACAGGCGGCTACAGTAAAATCCACTCCTGCCCTTCAGACTTGTCTTGTAGGACTTTATAAGTTCATGCATACAACAGTATCCATATTTCCGAGAAGTAACGCTCACACATTGAACTGCTACGCTCTTGATTAATTACAGGAAAGTAGCTCCGTTATCTAGCAACCATAAATCTTGGTCACCTGACATCACACCTCCTCTTCAACCAATCAATTGATCGTGAGGGAAAAAAACCTACAGGTTACTTAATTGACTACATAACACTGAGTGCACTCTATCGACTAGCCTTATTAGCCTAAATGAATTATAAATAAACATAAAAAGCTAGTTTTGCAGCATATTAAATCATGTTAAACTCTGTAGTTTATGCTGAAATGAAGTCAACAGACTTATTAGACCCGAGCAGCGACCATACTTATATTATTTCTGAAAACAGAACCACATCAACTGGCGATCCCAGCAAGAGAACGATTAAAAAATATGATGCAGACAAGTTCACCTTCTGTTTTTAATGATCTGCCACGTTGGTTGTTGTGTTACATTCGACTTTGTGGCCGTCTGTTTGAACTAATATATTTCACGTTGTTTTTTTAAGTTTGTAGCCGACCCTGAGTAAACATTCAGTAAACGCTAAATAGGTTAGACCAACAATCTGCACATGGTTGGACCAGTTCAAATTTGTAGAAATGCGGCGCTGGTCACAGGTAATCAGTTCCTTGTGTTGCCGAACAGAATGGATTAATCCTGGAAAGCTGTTGATGCAGCACTTTTCTCCTTATCTGAGTAACAGCAGCGATTAACCCAACAATAAGAATCTGGTCAGATGAGAGCTTATTGACCAACCAGTTGACCTGGACAGTACAGTCCCAAATACAATCTGCCAGCTGTAGCATCAAGTACGGAAAACTGTAAAGTGACCAAAAGCGAGGTTAGATTTTGTTCAGGTCATTCCTCTGGTGTTTTACAACATGTCAGATGATTCTGGGGAGAGCAAGTTGAACGTATTAAAGTGTAACTGCTCATTTACTGAACTGAAATGAATAGGGAGGAGTAATGAGGCTCGATGTACCTGGTATTTAAATTGGTACGTGTGTAGAAGATTGGTATTTGTTGCACTGGACTAAAATGTTATTTTCCAACAACACCCTTCCAAGCTTAAAATGTCATAAGAGCGTTCATGTGATCTTTTCCACTTCATGACACTACCTGGAACAGCTAAAAGTCAAGTTTTTATTTAGGTGTGTTTTTGGCGACTTGCTGGATCAGATCTCGATAGAGCATCATAGAGAATCAGCGTTTCATCAGGTGGACTGTCACGAGTCACAGAGGACGTGCAGGATGGAATTGCTACCCTCTTTTTTTTTTTGTTATTGTAAATCATCTGACCTGAATATTTTTCAGAATATTTATATCTTTGTCATCTTAAGTCCTGCTATAAGCCCAGTAGATTAGTGTGAGGAAAAAGAGAGAGGCAAAGCGGGCAGATAAGAAGCGATTTTCACATGGATAAAACGGACGGACGACCCAGGACTGGACAGCAGGACAGAGAGATTGAGGGATGAGCCTGACATCAGAGGAAGAGAACAAGGCCATTATGATGTGTGATCAGGATGAGAACAAAACAAGAGAAAATATCTTAACCTCGCCCTGACATCGCGCCCTCTCTCTCTCTCGTGTCCTGGTGTGGACTAAAATAGGGATTTGTCCCTCTTGAGGATTTCCAAACCCTCTTAAATATTATCGACATGTTGTTATTGTCGCTGTCATTCCCCTCATGCTAGATTGTATGGCTGTTATCCTGCTTATAGCAGCGAGTCAGCTACATGCCAGTGTTGTGTGAGATTGTTGATGGCTTGTAAATAGAGTAGATGTACAGTTGGCTGACTCAAGAGGGGAAAAAAAACCTCAGATTTGAATCCTATTAAAATGTTGTGGGGGAGATTTGAAACTGGCAGAACATGCAAGAATCTGCAGATCTTTGAATAGACGACATTGGAATTTACTTTAAATTAAACGCTGCCGTAAATACCTGGAGATTTGCTGCAACAACTGTATTATTTTCCCCTCGCAAGACGAGGAAAGGGCTGCAAGGTGGCTCCGTGGTTAGCACCGTCACCTCGCAGGTAGAAGATCCCCGGTTCACGTCCCAGTTAGGATGCTGGGGAGTATGGAGTTTGCATGTTCTAGATAATGGATGGATGGAAGACGAGGAAAATATGAGCTTGAGCAAAGTTTATCGAGCTATTTTACTGAAAAAGCGCATGTAGTGGCTGCAAAGATTGGATCCTAAAATCCAAACACTGAGCTCAATGATACTAAGATGCTTCAGAGATCTGCAGAGTTGGCTGTTTATTCTCCCTGGTTCATTGCTACAAGCAACACTTTTCAAATTACTCATAGGTATTTAGTCCATTGTTCATTAATGCAGCTTTGAAGTGTAATCAACAGAGTGGTGGTGACCCAAGTTCCCCAGAGTTGTCAGTATAATCAGGAAAAAAAAAAAAGAAAAACAGTCACTAAAACGATACAGTATATTTTAAAAGCTGCTACTCACTTAACCTGCGTAGATTTTTAGAACAAAGTTCACGAAGTTCACATCTGAGCTGTCTCCTGCTACACTTGCGTGGCGACGGATGCAGAGCTCAGGTGATATAACTACAATAGAATCGTATCTATCACTCAAATACGAACACACACTCAAAAAGCACAAATACTTTTTTCCCTGTGAGAGCGTCAAGTGGCAGTCCAGAGTGGTGTCTCTCTTTAGGCTGTGTTTGGTATAATTGGCAGCTGATTAATCACAGCTAATTAAATGTAATGATAGAGAAAGGTGGCCAATTTTGTGCTAAATGGTCATGGTTAGGTAGGGGATTGTCAGGTGGCCAGGCCTATTATTGCAGCACGCGTGTGTGCGTGATGGTCAAGGTTAGGTAGTATTGCTAAAGAGTGGTGAGCCATTATGTGTTTTTGTGTTAGGGAGAGGGGTTTTGGCCGTGTGTGTGTTTGTGTGTGTGTGTGCGTGTGCGCGCGCGTGTGTGTGTGTGTGGGCTAAGTGGCTAGGTGATTAGCAGAATTAGAACATTAGGAATTGAGATGGAGAGGGTTTGTTAAGTGGAGGTGAGACGGGGTCGGATCTGGCTTTTTCTTTTTATGTACATGTACGTAAGGATGAGAGAGAAACCTGTAAAGATGTTTGGGCCACTAAAGGCCACACAAGACTCTTAATGAGGCCGCAGGATGTCCTTTAATACACTCCGCTGTGCGTGTGTGTGTTTGAGGATTGTCCTGATAATCTGACCCGCTTGACATTTTTCCATTATCTCTTCCTGAAAGTGAGAGTGTTGTTTTTTTGTTTGTTTCTACTTTGAATTCTTTTGATCTACCCGTGCGTGTGCAAAGCATGTGCCTTCTTATTTCTGAGGATTTTGTTTTCGGCCCAGATTAGGGAGATTTGTCCTGACGGATTCGAAATCCCAAACATATTCGCTCGTGTGTGTGTGTTTGTGTGTGTGTGTGTGTGCGCACGAGTAGTTGTGCTGCTTTGAGCCCTCAAGACTTTACCAAGTAAAAGGAATCGGAGGCAAAAAAGATGGAGCACTTGCACTGGGCCTGAGTCTCTAAGAAGATTAGACAGACTGAGAGAGAGTGAGTGCAACACATTTTAATTTGTCCCTTTGGCTGCTTGGGTAAGAACATAATGCCTTTGCCTGGGACAGCTAGAGGGATGGAGAGGCAGGGGAAAAGGCCGAGGAGGAGCAGGAGAGATTTGGAGGAAGAGGCAGGGATTGAGAGAAGTGGGGATTGAAAAAGGAAAGGATGACAGCAGTGAGGGATGGTCAGAGAAAGGGATGAAGCCCGTCTTTTCTTTACTTTCCCCTCCCTCTCACGGTATGATGGGCTCCCATCAAAGAGGCCAGCGGGGATTGAGCGCTGTTGATCCTCGTTCAGATTAACTTCCTGCCAGATCGGTCTGTGTCCCTCTTTTTTTTTTTTTTTTTCTTAGCCAGATTATCAGGAATAGAGGAGGAGTGAGATTTCTCAATCCTAGTCTCATTCAGATTGTATCAAAGCCCCCAAGAGACAGATGAAATCCTGATCACTGGTATTTCATGATAATAATCATCTAGTCACTCCACATATCAGGCTAAATCGGAGCTACATGAGCCTGCAGATCAATCTATGTCAGCCCTTATTGACAGCACACACACTCTCTCTATCTGCATATCACTGGTGGCCTAAAAGGAAAAGCAAATCTCCTGAAAGCTGCTGGAACCTCGGAGGCCGTACATTGTGAACCTCCGTCGTTATTGTTTTATGTTCTATTTTGGAAATTTTAACTTTGCAGCCAGACTTCTCTGTTTAATCTGAAAACCTCCCGAGCTCAGTGTTCAGTGTCGTAATATGATGACATGAGCTTTGGAATAATCTTCTACTGGGAAATAAAAAAAGGGTACTTGCTTATGAGAACTCTTACACATTTTAGCAGCCGATGTTGGAGCATAAACAGAATTTCAGTATATTACAGACACTGGCACCACAAACTGTAGCACTTTAAGAGGACGCACAAGTTTAATACTGGGCATTAAAAATCTACATTTTTCCTCCTTATAAAGAAAAAAAAGCCTCTAATGTTGTCACTACATTTAGTACGGACCATTCACCACTGTTCCACCTCAGTTATACAACTATATAACCGTTTTAGGCACTAATATTAAAGGGAGAATGCCCTGAACATTTTTTATTTATCAATTAATTTCACTCCGAGTGCAGAACTTGTTGCGGTTTTTCGGTGGATTTTGGCTCTCAGTTATTGTTCTTGTTGTATCTGAAGGTAGTTCTTCGTCTGGCGTGTGTGTTGGGTGACGTTGTCATTTGGGATCAGCAGTTATTTTATCTCGAACTAAAATCAGAATTTAAAACAATGCAATTAGCAAATTGCAAAAACTGCAATTTAGAATACACGTTATGCAGCACAACTGGTTCAGAGTTTAAACTGTCACTGTTTAACAAATTCATGCCAGTCACAGTTTTGCTAATATCTTCTTTGACAATGCTGCCTCACATGTATTTAATGTATTACACAATTAATATTCAACTGAAGCAGGGTCCTAAAATTATATTGCAAATCAAACTGATTAGATATTTTCTCAAATTTCACAGCCCCATGTTTCAAATGGTATTTGGGGCAGATCAGACGCCTCCCTGTTGATGCTGCGTGATGAATAATCAAATCAAGTTTGTTGTCGTTTTGCTGTACATACACAGCAGTACAGGCAAGATGAGAGAGCCTTTCTTCAGGATCCAATAACTTAAAGCAATTTAAATAAACAAGTGTTTGCATGTCTGGATCAGCAGCATTCTGACAGCTTGCGGAATGAAGCTGTTGATCATCCTGGAGGTTCTTCCTTTATTTTTTTTCTTTCCAGAATAAGCATCTAAAGTGTCTTAAACCTTTGCACAACGCCATCATTACAAATGTGGGGTTTGGCTCCTCGCTTGAACGAAACAAGCAATTCACCTAAATGACTAATCAATTCTAAGACTAAAAGTAACAAGCAGACTACATATTAATGAAAATAATGCCCTCAGATGCAGCTCTGCATGCACGACTCCTCTTTAGCTGTTGTATTGTCTGTGTGGCGTTGCCTTGAAAGCCTTCACGCGTTGAGATGCTACAAGGCCAAACAAACATCATCTGCACGGCTCTCATCCTGGTTTAGGGTTAAAGCTACTGAAAACACATCAGTGTGATGTAAAAGTGCTGCACTCCCTTAAAAGGACAAGAGCTCAATCTGCAAGCACATTTTATTCTGTAAGGCAATTATATATCCATCTATATTGATCCTTACAGTGGGCTACCGTTGGTGTACATCAAGTCATATTTAAAATGCTCTCTAGGCTCCATGGGTGTGTATGGATCAATAGGTATATACCTTATGGATAATGCTGTAATGGATTGGAGCTATGTGTTATTACCATATATATACATATACAAAGAACCTGCTTGTGTTCAGTGATTTAAGCCTGAGTAGGTTTTAAGTAATATTTAAACAACCTGAATGGATCTATTTCATGTATAAAACATCCACATTAAATACACGTTTGTTCCACATGTGGACACCCTGGAGATGTTTACTGCAGCTACAAGTCTCTTATTTAGCTACTCTCTGGCTTCGTTCAGTTTAAATTCTCATCTGTTTTTCTTTTCTAGACCCCTGGAATGAGGGCAAAGCCTACACGCATGCAGTGGTATGCAGAGAAATGCATTTCCACTAACCAGGTAACACACACACACACACACACACACACACACGCTTGCACAGTCTAAAATAAACAAGGCCACGAAAAATATAGCAAAAAGAAGGATACAAATACAAAAATTCCAACTGAGCGTATATATTGTGTTGTCGTGTATAGATGGAAACCTTGGAGCAGATGGTCGACATGACGGCGAAGCTGTTTGATTGCGACAGAGACGACATGTACGGCTACATCCTGCAGCTCTGCAGTAAGTGTTTCTCTGTTTGCTCTTTTATTTGCTTTCTCTCTGTGTTCGTGTGTCGTGTTTGACCTTCCACCTACCCCCAGTCTCCTCTGCTGTGGTGACCTCCCACCTCTGGGTGCGGGCTGCTCTTTCCCCAGGCTTTGAGTGTGTGACAGAATGGGACCAGTCAGAAGTAAGCAGAAGACATGGTGTGATTGCTGCAGTGGAGAGCAGAGCAGATAACGGTTGTGATTGGAGTGTTAAAGCTGATTGTCAACTCATTACCTCCACCTCCCTACACACACACACACACACACACACGCACACACACACGCACACGCACACACAGACGACACTAGTTAGTGTGTTTGATAAATTACAGCATAGTTGAGGGTCGGTCAGTTGATCAGATTAGTGATTTGATTGCCTTCTCTCAGCATGGAGCGCTTTGTCAGAAATTGCTCTCTGCTGCAGGCTTGGTGCTGAGCTCACTATCCAGCCACACAGGTCTGTGTGTCACGGCTTTCATAGCAAATTACAAACCTGCTCTCAGTCCCGCTGCTTTGTTCCTGGTTGTTTGCAGAGAAGACAAACAACTGGCAGAAGGCAGAAGCCATGTGGACGAAGATGCAGGAGGAGAACTTCATTCCCCAGGAGAGGACCCTTCGTTTAGTGGCAGACATCCTGAGGAAGAACGGCCAGAATGTGCCCTTTGAGGTGCCTGAGGTAAAACCCCAGCTTCACAATGTGAACATCCCAGTAATGCTCAGTGGGCAGATCTGTTATTCAGAAGGATCACTGCCAAGAGGTTCCTGATGGGAGAAAGAGCAGAGCAGGCAATCTGAAAGCAAAGGTCAGGAGATACTCAAGAGCTCTGGATGAGTGTGAAGGTGCCTGAGGTCAAACAGAGCACTGATGGTGAAACACAACACAGTGTCCCTAACTTTTGACTGAAACTGAGTGAAGGCACCCTTAACTATGACACTGAGGTCATAACTTTAAGGACAGTAAAAGACAAACCTCCCCCCAATTTATGATTGTTTTTGTTCTGAACTTTTGTGTGAAAAGCAAGCTTTGGAAACCTTGTGATGTCCTTTTCTACCAATGTTTTTCGTTGCCACATCAGAAAATGAAAAATAGATCAGTTGCACGTTATCAGATGAAAAGTTAACGGTTATAACAAGATGTTTGTTCATGTTATAACAACATACATTTGTTATTACAGTAAATGTTATGTTAGAACGTTATACTCACATTCTAACTTGATACTGATCTGTTCTCCTTCATCTGTTGTTGCAACAATACACTGCAGTGATTTCTCCTTATTTTGAGACATTGTATAAATTCATTGATTAATCAGTAATGAACATAAATTGCACCCCTGCCTCCACATTACAGGTGTCCTTGATAAGTATGAGCATTTTTTTCAGGCTTCTTTTGCAAAAAAAAGATTAAATCTCAGTAGGAAACTGCAGGCACAAGGACACAAAAACTGTACCGTAGAAGAGAAATAAAAGAATAAAATAACTATAATTTCAAGAAAAATGAACAACAATTACTCTCTAGTTGTAAATACATACAGTGATAGTGGCTAGTAATCTGTACATGGTTAGTGTAGGTCTAGTATATGGTGCTTCAATGAAACTGCACTGATGAGTATTGAGTATAGCCAAATAAAAACTGAAGCTGCACTCCATCTTTCAAAACACAATGGTCTCATCCCCACTTATTCTCATCCTGATGACACTACAAGTTCTTTTTTTTTTCTGAATAAAAACTGTTGCTTGCTGAATAGATTAACCAAAGAGCACGTTGACCCCAGCCTCTGATCGCAGGAGCTAACCCCCAAAAACCTCTGAAAACTCTTATCAGCTGCTCTCCATACAGCCCCCTACTCCGCTCCACTTTAAGCCTCTGTTCATTACATGCAGAGGAAACAGGATTGAAGCTCTGATCTGAAGTGTAGTCAATCAGACTGGCTGGCTGGTGAAACGAATTACAGCTTGATCTGTCTGTAAATCTGTAATGCCAGACTAATTTAGCCAGCAGCTAAATGCCACCATATGGCTGCCGCTCGATGCTTAGCTACATATGTGTGTTCAGCGGAAACCAAATTAAGATTTTTTTTTTCTTCACAAATTAAACACAATAAAGACAGAAAGGGGGTTTTGCTTTAAATTTGTTTTCTGTTGCTGCCTTCGTTCCTCCTCGCTGCATTTTTCCTCCGTTTGCTCCAACAGCCCGAAGCATGACGAGACAGGAAGTGATTGCTGTTGCCCGAAGCGATGAACTTGGTGACCCCAGGGGCTCTTGCGTTGACACCCCCTCGCTCCAACACACACACTCTCTTAACACGCACACTTTTCTTTTGCCCCTGGGGTGCCAGACCTAATTTGCCCCCAGCCAATACAGCTTAACCCCCTCCCCTCACTGCTACATGGGTGAGCGAGCATTACGGGACCCTGCCCTGCCTGCCCAGCATTACTGCAGTGTCATGGACACACATACACACACCAGCTCATTGCCAGTGTTTTCAGGCTTTAATACAGCATGTAGCTGTGTTTTGATGGAAATGTAGGACTGAGTTTCAGGACTGTTTTCTGCATGTGTCATTTACAGACCTGGTACGATCCAGCTAAGACCCCACAGCTCGTCAAGCTAGCAGCAGAAGCAGCAGCAGAAGCAGCAGCAGCAGCACCACCACCACCACCAACAGCAGAAAAAACAGCAGCAGCAGCCCCCGTCAGAGACAACTATGACCCCAATCTGTTTGCCCTCTGTAAGAAGGGCAATGTTGAGGGTAAGCAGCAGGAGGTCCCAGTATTGTTGTCACATGACACATAGCAGAACTTAACACAGACGAAGCTGATTTCAGATGCTTCAGCCATCAGTGGTGTGTAAAGTTTTAATTCCTAGCCTCTTAAAACCACATTTCTAGGAAATGTTTAACTGTAAGGGGGCAGAAATTGTTTAGCAAACAACTTCCAATAGGTGAAGCGCTGCCAGAGCGCACCACAATGACGCTTTGCTGCGTTTCTCTCCAGTTAAGGAAATAGAGTATTCACAGTTTGCATAATGCAATTCATATACTTTTTTTTTTAAGTGCTGGAATTTCCAACCATCACTAAAGCACATGTCAAGCCAGAGAGCCCCCAAAAAATAGTAAATTTAACAGCAGCTCATCTGCTGAATTTCATTCTTCACTATTAATGCTAAAGTCAGTTAGTGTTGGGGTCTACAGCCAGGTTGCAACACATTTATTTATAAAAATGGCTGACTTAAGTTCCAGGTGATTATACTTTCATGAAAACGTAATTCAGAACCCTATTTTTCCATTTTTGCTAACATAACCCCTAACATAACACATTGGCCCTTTAAATGATTCTTTGTGAACATAAACAGTACTGTTATTTTATTGTAAATGTCATCTTGTTTTTGTTGGAGCATTAAACAGCTTTAAATTACCTCGGATACTTCAGGTAGCACCAATTTTCTATTGAAGATAAAACATTTTAACATTGTATTTTACCACTGTAGCTGCAGATTACTCTAATAATCCAACATAATATGAGGATAATCTCAATTTCTGCTGTTCGGTATCCTGTCCAATCTCTGACTCATTCTTTCCGTTTCTCTCCTTCTCTTGCTCTCTTTCTGCAGAAGCTTATGCGCTGGTAAAGAAAGCTGATGAACAGGGCCTGTCACTACGTCCCGGTTCTTATGACTGCGTCCTGCGGGCCCTGTTGGCCAGGGGATCCGATGAGGATGCCATGGTAGTCAAGGACATGTAGGTGTCTTCTGTAACAACTAACAATAATCTTTGTAAAAACATGCAAAACAGAACAAATAGTACTGCTTATCCCAGGTTGTGATACCAGGTGTAGACAGGTAAGTGTCAGAAGTGAGAAGCTGGATGTCAGAGAGAGGAAGAAGATGTGATAATGTTCAGCCACATTTTCAGAAAGTCTGTCCAGGAACACATTCGTAGATTTGAGCTGTTGTTAACATAGGANCGAGTAGTTGTGCTGCTTTGAGCCCTCAAGACTTTACCAAGTAAAAGGAATCGGAGGCAAAAAAGATGGAGCACTTGCACTGGGCCTGAGTCTCTAAGAAGATTAGACAGACTGAGAGAGAGTGAGTGCAACACATTTTAATTTGTCCCTTTGGCTGCTTGGGTAAGAACATAATGCCTTTGCCTGGGACAGCTAGAGGGATGGAGAGGCAGGGGAAAAGGCCGAGGAGGAGCAGGAGAGATTTGGAGGAAGAGGCAGGGATTGAGAGAAGTGGGGATTGAAAAAGGAAAGGATGACAGCAGTGAGGGATGGTCAGAGAAAGGGATGAAGCCCGTCTTTTCTTTACTTTCCCCTCCCTCTCACGGTATGATGGGCTCCCATCAAAGAGGCCAGCGGGGATTGAGCGCTGTTGATCCTCGTTCAGATTAACTTCCTGCCAGATCGGTCTGTGTCCCTCTTTTTTTTTTTTTTTTTCTTAGCCAGATTATCAGGAATAGAGGAGGAGTGAGATTTCTCAATCCTAGTCTCATTCAGATTGTATCAAAGCCCCCAAGAGACAGATGAAATCCTGATCACTGGTATTTCATGATAATAATCATCTAGTCACTCCACATATCAGGCTAAATCGGAGCTACATGAGCCTGCAGATCAATCTATGTCAGCCCTTATTGACAGCACACACACTCTCTCTATCTGCATATCACTGGTGGCCTAAAAGGAAAAGCAAATCTCCTGAAAGCTGCTGGAACCTCGGAGGCCGTACATTGTGAACCTCCGTCGTTATTGTTTTATGTTCTATTTTGGAAATTTTAACTTTGCAGCCAGACTTCTCTGTTTAATCTGAAAACCTCCCGAGCTCAGTGTTCAGTGTCGTAATATGATGACATGAGCTTTGGAATAATCTTCTACTGGGAAATAAAAAAAGGGTACTTGCTTATGAGAACTCTTACACATTTTAGCAGCCGATGTTGGAGCATAAACAGAATTTCAGTATATTACAGACACTGGCACCACAAACTGTAGCACTTTAAGAGGACGCACAAGTTTAATACTGGGCATTAAAAATCTACATTTTTCCTCCTTATAAAGAAAAAAAAGCCTCTAATGTTGTCACTACATTTAGTACGGACCATTCACCACTGTTCCACCTCAGTTATACAACTATATAACCGTTTTAGGCACTAATATTAAAGGGAGAATGCCCTGAACATTTTTTATTTATCAATTAATTTCACTCCGAGTGCAGAACTTGTTGCGGTTTTTCGGTGGATTTTGGCTCTCAGTTATTGTTCTTGTTGTATCTGAAGGTAGTTCTTCGTCTGGCGTGTGTGTTGGGTGACGTTGTCATTTGGGATCAGCAGTTATTTTATCTCGAACTAAAATCAGAATTTAAAACAATGCAATTAGCAAATTGCAAAAGCTGCAATTTAGAATACATGTTATGCAGCACAACTGGTTCAGAGTTTAAACTGTCACTGTTTAACAAATTCATGCCAGTCACAGTTTTGCTAATATCTTCTTTGACAATGCTGCCTCACATGTATTTAATGTATTACACAATTAATATTCAACTGAAGCAGGGTCCTAAAATTATATTGCAAATCAAACTGATTAGATATTTTCTCAAATTTCACAGCCCCATGTTTCAAATGGTATTTGGGGCAGATCAGACGCCTCCCTGTTGATGCTGCGTGATGAATAATCAAATCAAGTTTGTTGTCGTTTTGCTGTACATACACAGCAGTGCAGGCAAGATGAGAGAGCGTTTCTTCAGGATCCAGTAACTTAAAGCAATTTAAATAAACAAGTGTTTGCATGTCTGGATCAGCAGCATTCTGACAGCTTGCGGAATGAAGCTGTTGATCATCCTGGAGGTTCTTCCTTTATTTTTTTTCTTTCCAGAATAAGCATCTAAAGTGTCTTAAACCTTTGCACAACGCCATCATTACAAATGTGGGGTTTGGCTCCTCGCTTGAACGAAACAAGCAATTCACCTAAATGACTAATCAATTCTAAGACTAAAAGTAACAAGCAGACTACATATTAATGAAAATAATGCCCTCAGATGCAGCTCTGCATGCACGACTCCTCTTTAGCTGTTGTATTGTCTGTGTGGCGTTGCCTTGAAAGCCTTCACGCGTTGAGATGCTACAAGGCCAAACAAACATCATCTGCACGGCTCTCATCCTGGTTTAGGGTTAAAGCTACTGAAAACACATCAGTGTGATGTAAAAGTGCTGCACTCCCTTAAAAGGACAAGAGCTCAATCTGCAAGCACATTTTATTCTGTAAGGCAATTATATATCCATCTATATTGATCCTTACAGTGGGCTACCGTTGGTGTACATCAAGTCATATTTAAAATGCTCTCTAGGCTCCATGGGTGTGTATGGATCAATAGGTATATACCTTATGGATAATGCTGTAATGGATTGGAGCTATGTGTTATTACCATATATATACATATACAAAGAACCTGCTTGTGTTCAGTGATTTAAGCCTGAGTAGGTTTTAAGTAATATTTAAACAACCTGAATGGATCTATTTCATGTATAAAACATCCACATTAAATACACGTTTGTTCCACATGTGGACACCCTGGAGATGTTTACTGCAGCTACAAGTCTCTTATTTAGCTACTCTCTGGCTTCGTTCAGTTTAAATTCTCATCTGTTTTTCTTTTCTAGACCCCTGGAATGAGGGCAAAGCCTACACGCATGCAGTGGTATGCAGAGAAATGCATTTCCACTAACCAGGTAACACACACACACACACACACACACACACACACACACGCTTGCACAGTCTAAAATAAACAAGGCCACGAAAAATATAGCAAAAAGAAGGATACTAATACCAAAATTCCAACTGAGCGTATATATATTGTGTTGTCGTGTATAGATGGAGACCTTGGAGCAGATGGTCGACATGACGGCGAAGCTGTTTGATTGCGACAGAGACGACATGTACGGCTACATCCTGCAGCTCTGCAGTAAGTGTTTCTCTGTTTGCTCTTTTATTTGCTTTCTCTCTGTGTTCGTGTGTCGTGTTTGACCTTCCACCTACCCCCAGTCTCCTCTGCTGTGGTGACCTCCCACCTCTGGGTGCGGGCTGCTCTTTCCCCAGGCTTTGAGTGTGTGACAGAATGGGACCAGTCAGAAGTAAGCAGAAGACATGGTGTGATTGCTGCAGTGGAGAGCAGAGCAGATAACGGTTGTGATTGGAGTGTTAAAGCTGATTGTCAACTCATTACCTCCACCTCCCTACACACACACACACACACACACACGCACACACACACGCACACGCACACACAGACGACACTAGTTAGTGTGTTTGATAAATTACAGCATAGTTGAGGGTCGGTCAGTTGATCAGATTAGTGATTTGATTGCCTTCTCTCAGCATGGAGCGCTTTGTCAGAAATTGCTCTCTGCTGCAGGCTTGGTGCTGAGCTCACTATCCAGCCACACAGGTCTGTGTGTCACGGCTTTCATAGCAAATTACAAACCTGCTCTCAGTCCCGCTGCTTTGTTCCTGGTTGTTTGCAGAGAAGACAAACAACTGGCAGAAGGCAGAAGCCATGTGGACGAAGATGCAGGAGGAGAACTTCATTCCCCAGGAGAGGACCCTTCGTTTAGTGGCAGACATCCTGAGGAAGAACGGCCAGAATGTGCCCTTTGAGGTGCCTGAGGTAAAACCCCAGCTTCACAATGTGAACATCCCAGTAATGCTCAGTGGGCAGATCTGTTATTCAGAAGGATCACTGCCAAGAGGTTCCTGATGGGAGAAAGAGCAGAGCAGGCAATCTGAAAGCAAAGGTCAGGAGATACTCAAGAGCTCTGGATGAGTGTGAAGGTGCCTGAGGTCAAACAGAGCACTGATGGTGAAACACAACACAGTGTCCCTAACTTTTGACTGAAACTGAGTGAAGGCACCCTTAACTATGACACTGAGGTCATAACTTTAAGGACAGTAAAAGACAAACCTCCCCCCAATTTATGATTGTTTTTGTTCTGAACTTTTGTGTGAAAAGCAAGCTTTGGAAACCTTGTGATGTCCTTTTCTACCAATGTTTTTCGTTGCCACATCAGAAAATGAAAAATAGATCAGTTGCACGTTATCAGATGAAAAGTTAACGGTTATAACAAGATGTTTGTTCATGTTATAACAACATACATTTGTTATTACAGTAAATGTTATGTTAGAACGTTATACTCACATTCTAACTTGATACTGATCTGTTCTCCTTCATCTGTTGTTGCAACAATACACTGCAGTGATTTCTCCTTATTTTGAGACATTGTATAAATTCATTGATTAATCAGTAATGAACATAAATTGCACCCCTGCCTCCACATTACAGGTGTCCTTGATAAGTATGAGCATTTTTTTCAGGCTTCTTTTGCAAAAAAAAGATTAAATCTCAGTAGGAAACTGCAGGCACAAGGACACAAAAACTGTACCGTAGAAGAGAAATAAAAGAATAAAATAACTATAATTTCAAGAAAAATGAACAACAATTACTCTCTAGTTGTAAATACATACAGTGATAGTGGCTAGTAATCTGTACATGGTTAGTGTAGGTCTAGTATATGGTGCTTCAATGAAACTGCACTGATGAGTATTGAGTATAGCCAAATAAAAACTGAAGCTGCACTCCATCTTTCAAAACACAATGGTCTCATCCCCACTTATTCTCATCCTGATGACACTACAAGTTCTTTTTTTTTTCTGAATAAAAACTGTTGCTTGCTGAATAGATTAACCAAAG